ATGCCTGGACGCTTTCAACCCCACACTGCACATAACTCCCGCCAACGTGACAGACGTTCGTGATCGACAGAACCTCCTCACCAAGAACTTCCACCTGCCCCGGACGAAAACATCATTAGAAGGAGAGGATGTGCACTGGGCCAAGCAATCAGGACAATCGGACCCAGAAGCAGCTTTTCTGAACCACCTTGCCGTCAACGACCCCCCCGTCAACAGTGCTCTGTTTTCATACCGCCACAAAGACTCATACAGGCCGCTAATGAAGACAAAACTCACGCAAAGGTTAGCTTCGGCAACTAGAGCAGCAGGGCAAGAACCACTGCAAGGACATGGCATACGCATAGGATCCACCCTTGAATATCTCCTTCGAAACATTCCCTTCAATGTCATTAAAGTCAAAGGTCGCTAGGCAAGCGACGCTTTTCTCAAATACCTTCGCCAACACACTCAAATTTTAGCGCCCTATATGCAAGCCGTCCCGTCTTTGCAGGACCAGTTTCTCCGCTACACCTTACCCCCAGTTCGCGGAGGTTGAGCATTGGCAATAAGCGAAAAGCAGACCATGTGAGTGTTCCACGTCCGTCTCCTAAAATGGGGGTATCCGAGGCAACGACAAGTTTCGCTGGATGCGTCGACGAACTCCTAAAACATCTGGGAATCACAGCTCACCTCCCTTTTTCTCTTAGGTACACTCCTCAGGGCTGGAAAGCGCTACGCGCTCTCGCCCAAAAGCTATCTCGCCGTCAGAATTTGCCCAAACACACTCTATTCCCCCCAGTATTCTAGTAATACAAAATTCTATATGTTGGTCGTGTCACAGTGAACCTCGAAGAGACATATCCAAGAAGTACAACTACCGACGCGGCGTAGTCTTAGTCTTCATCCACCAAAGTACGCAATCACTTACCAAGAAGATGGTTGTCAGAAAGACTCGCCACACAGACACAAGTGTAGTAAAGTTAGAGTTGAGTCCACTGGAAACTCAGTTGTCATCTTGGTACGTTCTACGTGACTTATCCTTGTTTTCCCTTTACAGTATATGCGGTGCAGCTGAAGCGACCAACCTTTGTTTGTCTGTGGCAGGTCTGCCCACCGGATCCGTAGGCCAAAATTCTCAGTCTACCACTAATTCCTCTTCCTCTCCCGTCTTCATCGGAAAAATTACGCTTCCTCCATCTTAGACTCTTGCGGTCCCAAAAATATATTTTACTATCCTTTTCTATACCACGTTCTTGAGGAAGCTACTCTGTAATTGTAAGTTCCAGTTGTGTCTCTTTCGCGGAAGACTTTGTGTATGCCATCATTCCCATTAGAGAAGCGAGACACCATTTACCCTTACATAATATCTATGACACCCATGATTTCACCAACTGATCAACCATTTTCTCGATATTAGAATCAAGAGTACACAATCGCAAGGATCGGATATATCATGACATAGTATGTCTTACTACTTGTTTCTTATGTGTATCATTTGGTCTGACGTTTTACACTCCTGCAGCAGAGTGCTGCGGCTGCCAACTCCGGAACTCAAGAGCAAGCTCTTCATGGACATGGGTGACTGGATAGTCACGACCCAATGCACGCATATGTTGATAACATCTTAACCAGCCATGCTTATATCTGTGCTTGGGCAGCAGTATGAAGATGGAGACATCAAAGGTGTATTATCTTAAGCACTTCGAGGAACAACTACTTCAAGCACCCCTTCAGGACGGGCATGATACCTCTCAACACAGAATCGTATGCGAAACGAAAATCTGACCGGAACTGGCAAGTGTTGAGGTCCCTCGGAACATCCAATCAAGCATCAGTGAATTCATGAGTCCTTGATATTGTAGCCATGGAAACTATAGAAGGATGTAATTCTGCCTCTGCTAAATATGGCTATGTATGCTGCAATAAATTTGAGTTGTTGATACATAGCCATTGATGTCTGCAAATCTAGATTACCATGAGGAGTTTGTGACGAGGTCGTGACATCGTAACATGATGACCAGCAAGAGATGGTAGTGTAATTGTATCCCCCTTGTTGAGCATTCTCATTCTCCAATACTTATGTTTCAATTACATAGCTATTCAAAGCTTTCTCATGGAAAGCGGTGTTTGCATTGATCATCAAATCTAGATTAGCACGCGAGTTTGTGACAATGTTGTGACATTGCACCATCGCTGCCTGCAGGGGCTGGTAGCATCAAGTGTGTCCGTTTGTTGAGCATTCTTATGTTTCCTTCTTTATGTTTCAATTATATGGTTATTCAAAGCTTTCTCGTGGAAAGCGGTGTTTGCATTGATCATCAAATCTAGATTAGCACGCGAGTTTGTGACAATGTTGTGACATTGCACCATCGCTGCCTGCAGGGGCTGGTAGCATCAAGTGTGTCCGTTTGTTGAGCATTCTTATGTTTCCTTCTTTATGTTTCAATTATATGGTTATTCAAAGCTTTCTCGTGGAAAGCGGTGTTTGCATTGATCATCAAATCTAGATTAGCACGCGAGTTTGTGACAATGTTGTGACATTGCACCATCGCTGCCTGCAGGGGCTGGTAGCATCAAGTGTGTCCGTTTGTTGAGCATTCTTATGTTTCCTTCTTTATGTTTTAATTATATGGTTATTCAAAGCTTTCTCGTGGAAAGTGGTGTTTGCATTGATCATCAAATTTAGATTAGTACGTGAGTTTGTGACAATGTTGTGACATTGCACCATCGCTGCCTGTAGGGGCTGGTAGCATCAAGTGTGTCCGTTTGTTGAGCATTCTTATATTTCCTTCTTTATGTTTCAATCATAACATTATTTATGACTTTTTGGTAGAACACGCCTTTCAAATTGATTAACTTGGTGTTGGCGACTAAGGGCATTGCTCCAAGGATTTTTGGATGTTGTGTTCAATATCACTACGATACGATAAAGAAAGTCTGGTACATAAATAGCTGAGCTTGAAAAGGACCTCCGCATCTTGGTGTGCACAGGCAGTAAGCATCATGGCGTCTAGCGCACCCAAATGCTGCATCGCAGTAAATAGGTCTGCGAGGTAGATTTCTAGTGGCGGGCACATGCAAACTTCAGTGGCACATAGGTGTTTGAGCCTTGCCAAGAACGCAGCAGGTATAACAGGCAGGAGCTGTGTGGTAGTGGAGGGGTTGGCGGGCCGGACAAAAATGAGCGAGCGAATGGTAGGCGATGTTCATGGTTGCGCTGCACTCCCCGGATCCAGTTTATCCAACACAAGCACGCAGATTCATGAACTGGAGCTTGAATCACACTGTTAGTGCGAATGATCAAGAATACTCATGGTTGTGCTGCACTCCCTGATTTAGCTTAACCAACACAAGCACGCATATTCATACCATCTGACACGGCAAGCTTATGAATCCTGGTAGTGGAGGGGTTGGCGGGCTGGACAAAAACGAGTGAGCGAATGGTAGGAGGCGCGGGTGGGGTCTCGGAATCTGATTTGTCTGTGTCAGGTTGACCTGAGGGGTCTAGTGGAGGTGTATGTACGCGGCTGACAGGCCCTTTGAGATATGAGTTTTCTGTGCGCAAGAAATGGACAGTGCCACAAAGAGCCTCGATCTAATTAAGAGTCAGAAAAACAATAAGATGTCATTGAACCTGCACAAACCTGCTCCAGAAGGTGTGATGTCTCCACATTGCCCTACATGGGCACATTCTCTGAATCGACGAGCTGTGCGCCAGCAGCTAAACATGCGCAGTCACCAAACTGTTCATCTAACCTTGATACAAAGAAACATACCTTGTCTCTCCGAAGCGGCAGCCAATGCCTTCAGCTTCGTGTTATCTTGCTCAAACGTATCTAGGTCTGCCTGCAGTTGCTCCATTGCTTCCTCATACGCATGCTCCTGCTTGCGCGCTTTCGAGAGCTCAATCTCAAGATCTGCAATGGTGTCTGCTTGCTTCTTGACCACCTCCATGCGCCGCTCCATAAGCTCTATCTTTACTCCTGATTCCTGTATCGTTTTTGGAGTGATTTGTGAGCAACAAACATCGTGTCAATAAAGGCAGTGTTATGCACCTTCATCATTGAGAATCACAGCAACGGATGTTTTCGTGAGCCCGATAGATGCAGCAAACACATCTAGGTCATGGTCAAACGAAAGTGCATACCCGAGCTCGCGCTTGCCCAGGTCCTGCTCGAACCCATCAAAATAAGTCTCTGCAAGATGGTCAAACTGGACTAGCATCCTGTGTCAGCGGTAAACATTTTCCATTTGTTGACATGCAACATCAGCGCGTTTAGCTTCTAGGACATGAATTTTCGCGTGCATGGCAGAATCCTCGGTACGCTAGAATTTTCGACTGAAATGAGCGCATATAGGGTATATACTCATGGACTTACGGTTATGGGTGATGATATACTGACATATTTCGATTTCGGCAAGCCTATCATGATGTTGTTGGGCTGCTGCTTGGAGATCAGATGGAATGAGGAAAGGATGGTGCACATCTGGCCATCCCTGGTCAAGAAGTTAGATATAGCGCGAAAGGGAAGCACAGATGACTTGCCTTGAACCTTGCGTCAGGCTTTGCGTCAGCATCTGTACACTGAATGCATACCGTGACACACCGAGGCCAAGTCACAGTTGTAACCTGTCACTCATAATATCAGCGATTTTCCAAACGATGTGATGAAGAACTTTCATCTACAACTGGCGTGGGGATGGGCTGCAGGATCAACCTAGCAGAGAGGGCGATAACTTGAAGGTGCGGCAGTGATGGACGAGCTTGGAATTGGAATCAGTGATAAGCTTCCGGAATCCGAATGTTACCGTTAATCAGTGAATTCATGACTCTCTTATCGTCGATCTCTTATTGTCAACTACACTGTAGTAGACGCAGTCAACCTGAAGAACAACACATTTCTTAGGCGTAAGTTTCACTTCAACTTCATTGTCATGATGGAAAGTGGTCAAATTACATGTATACTACTAGTAGGACGTGCCATAACTATAGTAACTGACGTAAGTCGAATGCACGAAAATCAAGCATGGTATGCAGTTATGTCTACCAATCTGGCACGAATGCGGTTTTTGAACTCTTCCCAACGCGCAGAGCTCTCTGGGTTGGTTTTGATGTGGTTGTGAATATACTCCGATAGTAATGTATACCTAGGTTTGAAATTAGATACCCCAAAGTCAATGGATGTGTTTAGCTGTCCGCTTGCTAGCTCCTGTAGAGCACACTCCACAGCCGCTGCAGCTGTACAAAACAAAGCATCAAGTTCAGTAATGTAAGGTACGTAGCCAAGTTTCAAAATGGTGTTGATAACGACCGTGCGTATGATGTGATGTTCGAATGGGTGCATCTTGTCAACTTGGTGATTACCCGAGTCATTCCCGAATATGAATTTGAGGGGGAATAAAGGATTGTTGATGAGGTCCTTCACCATATCAATCAGATACTGTGGTTCGTGATCCTCCGACCAGATTGATGAGTGAAGATCGTACCCGATTTTGGCCATGCCATGGGCGCTTTTCTTGCATGTTGACATGATATCTGTGGACGGCGGCATTGTGAACGATTTGTAGAACACAGTGAGGTTTTCTGCACCCCATCGACTCCCGTACTCTTTGGAAGTTTCAGATATGTTTGAAAATTAAGGTAGGTACTGCAGCTTACCTTCATCATATACACTTGCTGCCGAAACCAACGCCTCATGAGCTGCCGTTTTTCTTTCTTGCTCAGTCAAGAATGGGCATGTACTGAGCGCGGATCGAATGAGTGTCACGCGTGTGTCTTCGAAGATTTTTCGATGGATTCAGATCTTGTCGTTGTATTGTAAAGGTGCTATGTGAGATGGTCGTGAAGGTGCCGTGGATGGAGTAGCACCCTGAAATTCATTAGTGATTAATGATTTATAAAAAATAATGATGGTAGCCCACCTGAACGCTAGTTAAACCCCTCAACTTTGGTCATGCACACGGGTATGGCCAAAATTTGATTTCAAACGGTTTTTCCGGTGGTTGACGATTGTGTGATCCAGATGGACATGGAGGGGGAGGCGAAGGCTTCCTGATGTGAAACGAGTCTCCAAGGGACAACGGCTCATCCAGATGTAGCAGCTCTCCAAGAGGCCCAATATCCTCTGAGCCTGGCACTAAAGTGGATATTCCATCAACAGACACGATGGGCGGAGGGAATACAGGAAAGTACTGAGAAGGAGATGGGTGCGATAGCCCAGATCCCTGGTAAGGGATAGCAGAAGGGTTGTACACCAGGTGATACCCTACATGTGGATCGAGGGTGAACTGGAATGGGTCATCGACGAATGACATTGATGGATCTTCATCAGCGCCAGGCATGACGAGATCATGACGATCGCGAAGGTTTGTGGGTAAATCGATGAAGTGGGGGTCTGGAAAAGTATTTGCAGAGTGGGAGGCATGGCCGGGGAAAGAAAGTGGTGTATAGGGAAACGATGCTAATGTCTGGTCACCCAGGTCAGAGCTCTGGCTCACTGGCCCGGGCACATTCACAAAGTGGGACGAGTTATGGTGGGGCTGCTGGTAGTCCAAATCAAAGCCAGTGGCCTGGGGATAGCTGGAATGACTAGCTGCCAGACTCGGATGACTCTGGCTATTGTTATTGAGTGCAGCGTCGGTGGGCTGTCCGTCATAAGCGTACATCGGAATCCGGGTAGTCTCAGACTACCAGGCTAGTACCAACAACAGCACAGCAGCGTCATATAAGTTTTATTTCGGCTGCCCTCTACGCCTCAAAACGTTCAGATTCAGTCCAGTCTGGTAAACAACAATTTTGACAAACCCTTTGACTAATTAGAACCGCACAGCCCAGCAATGAGGCATGGGCGCTATATCAGAGATTCCTAATTAGGCTTTCAACACCAGCACAATTTAATGATGGATTCAATTCACCTTGCACTGTGGCCTGGAAAGTTCGGGGCGAGACTTTCAAATTACCGTTGGGCATAGGGTTACCGCATGACAAATTGAGGTAGAAGTTCTAGAATTTTTGCGTAGCTCAATGCCAGGGAGTTGTAATAAGACGTGTTGTATCTCGTTTTGATGAACAAGTTCCATAGCGAAGCGCATCAGACCAAATAATAATCGGAGAAGCCCTTAGTTCATCGATTAACTCGAGGATCATTGGAAGGATCCGGTCATGATGTCACATCATGGGGCCACACTGAGACTCGCTGTGGCGAATAAGATATAGTACACCAGAACAGTGGGAAAGAGATAAGCAACGAGTGTGAAGAGAATGGTCCCCAGCGGGAGCTGGTCGACATCGTAGTCCCAAGGATCTGTCCGATTCCTTAGCATATTATGTCGTCAGACGCTTGAGTTGGGTTATTTCTAGTTCTCAAAATATCATGCCACGAAACAATTCACCTCGAAAAAGATTCCAAGGTGATGCCGCCAAGCGTAACAAATGACCATACACCGTGACCGTAGTCACCGAGATCAGATAGCACAGTTGTAGTACATGTGCCATAAAGATACACACAATATCACATACCATAGCAAGCGTCATCGTCACCCCAAACGCGCTCCCAAGCTCAAGCGTACTGAATACCATCATGATGGGAAGGAGAGGTATGACGGTTTGGAAGCTTCCTGTACATCAATGAGGATCATGCAGGGTATCGCGCAGGGACAATGTCAGCATGCTCTGTTCCAAAGTGAAATCAGCCCCATAAAGCTGTGCGAATAAAATAGGCTGAGTTTGGTGTTGAGCTTAAGGCCAGCAGGCCAACTGTCGAGCCACAGAAGGACTCCTGTGCACGGCCTTGTCCTGGGCATTTATATCAAAAATACTAGGATTGCGCAATGCGCAATGAACCTTTCAGACCTCAAAGATGAGCTTGAAAAGGTGCATAAAAGCCTGCCGGTCCTGCTGCAAAACCTGACCGTGACGAAGTGCAATGCCAATAATGAGATCATTCAGAATGATCCACTGAGAAGACTTGAGCCCCGCATCCCCATTTGGAACAGGTTGCACGCCATGGGGCAAGTGACGCAAAGTTCCTCGCCCTAGCCTTACTACTAGTAGATTCAATCTGCTGAACTGACTGAGAGAGGACAACACCTACCTAGCCTCGATACTAAATTTTCTCGACGACACAAAGACAAAGGACGCTGTGACATGCCAGAACATGATATTGTTTGAGCTTTCGATTCTGTCAATTGTACATTGCAAATGTTCAAGTTGAAGGTTCTTTTGAAAGTGAAGGTTGCGCTCGCGAATAGTAACGGTGAGGGATTGCTCAAGGGATTTTGCAGAGTTCCACTATGCCAGGCAAGTTGCAGCATCATGATATGACACAGGCAATTATTAGAAAACATACTTGATTGATGAGGATTTGCCCTGTATTTGACGTGCTTTGCTCGGATGACTTCCGAGTCAAGTTGGTATACGAAAAATCGTGCTTCTGAGTTAAGCTCAAGTGCAAGACCTCAACCTGAAGATCGAAAAGGCATGTTCCATTCGAACCCAAAGCATAAAATCGCAAGGAGGTTGCATCATGATGATGATATCATCGTCTGAGAAGCAAAACCGAGTCTGAATTGTAAGGATTTGAGTCAGGGATAGGCTTGTTGCCTTAGCGTCTAAACTGACGCGGTATCAAATCAGGTTATGAGGATCCGCACATCTACTGTGTCTGCAGTTAAGAGAAAACGGATCTGCTTCTATTCTGAATAGCCATGTAATGTATCAGAGAACCGTCCTGCTAGCCCCCTACAGATGCTCCCTGGTCCTTGGTAGTATCCTCCACCACCCTGCTCAGCCAAGTACGAGTTCTAAGGCCAGCCTCAGAGACACCCTAGCAGTGCTCTTACCCACGTTAATGCACGCGATTATCAACAACCAGCGGGAGAAACATACCCTCTGCAATATAATACACCCCAGTCCCATATATCTCCGCTGAACGTTGGGAACCAAGCGGTGCCACAGTTGCCTCAAGGTGATGATTTCTTCAGCCCTGGACCTCGGTTTGGAATAGGCAACATGCATTGTCAATTTCACCTACATCAATATTCAACAGATACATACACAGAGTCCCCAGCAACAACCGCCTCCTTCTGCCTCAGTACCCGACGTCGTTTCAGCATCTGGCAAGGGAGAATGTTGTTCACTCAGAGCGGTACCTAGATTGATATGATAGTGAGTGCAAGGATGATTTAGCTTGTTTTTGACGCGTAGCATAAGACCGGGCAAAGACGCGGTGTCCCCAATTTATGACAGTTCTTAGTTTCTTGTTCGAAGGCTCAGAGGACGGTCGAGTTTCACGGTCTTGAGTTTTCTTTTCTTTCTGGATGCCTTGGAAGGAGAGCTAGAAGACAAGTTGACAGTATGCATTTTCAAAGGAATGGCGGCTTGTCTGGTCTGCACGTCGAAGGCTATCCAAGTCAGTTGAATGACACCCAGGCTCCGTTCCTCCAGCCCACAGCACTCACCTCAGGATATGCATCAGCCATCTCCATCTCCCTACCCTTATTTCGGTACCTGTTAGGTACCGTGCCAGCTCAAGAGGCAGAGGGGTCGGGGCTTGGCTTCAGCTCTTGTGCTGCACCCTTAGCTGAGTACGTGCCCCGAATTTGGAGCAGATCCGACAATAGGACGAGTGGACTGCTTAGGTCCGCTTTGAGGGTCGGGAAGTAAGGGCTGCTAGCGGCGGACCGACTAGGAGCGGAGTGGAGAAGGCAGGGAATGATGCGGAGGGTGGGTAGAAACCAGGGGGATATTTGATAGGAGTGGAGATGGTGGAAGGATAATGTAGAGGATAGGAAAAGGGGTGATAGGAGGATATTGATAGGGGTGGGGTAATAAGGGAAAGACTTAGAGCACAGCTCTAAGTCGGAGCGGAGGGTCGGAGGGTCAGAGGTGACAACAAGTTGAGACTTGTGTCCAGAGGAGGCAAGGTCCTACTGAGAATTCCCACAAGAGGTAACTGCGAGAAGACAAGTAATATTAAGACTAAGGAAAAATATCTAAGTACAGGATATGTTATATACTTCTATGTGAGGCAATGATCAGGATAACTATGTAGTAAAGCTATGTACCAAGGATATAGTTTGTAAGTACCTTACATAGGCGAAGACATAAGTCAGAGCGGATATCAATATGTACGCGTCAGATCAGCGATCGGGTGGTAATAGGAATTACCGGTGATCCGGGAGTAAGAGTCTATGTACCGAAGGGGAAAGTATATGTCTAAAAGGGGAAAGGGATCCAGTTGAATGGAGAGGTTTATGGAAGGGGACCGGTTGAGCGGTTGAGCGGAAGCGTAGGGCGGAATGCAGGTTTGTGATAGGACAGAGCGGAGAGGGTCGGAAAGTGGAGCGGATATCAGTATCGGAGCAGTCAGATCTGGTATATGACAGTACCCACCAGCCACCTCCATAGTCCATGTGTGCTGGTAGCATGCCTCAAAACATCATGATCTGCTGTTCATGGCTCGTCTTAAGGGACTTGGCGAAATTTTCGAGGAACTCACCTGAAACCAACTTCTAGTGTTATCCGAAGGCCATAGAATGAATATCCTGGGCGACTTAGCATGGTATTAGGTAGTATTTTGCAAGGTACGGGTCGGGAAATTTGAGAGCGCAAAGTCTGGAAAGGGTCTATTTACAATTGTTGCCTTCCCAGGATCCTTACCACGTTGACTTTAGGTTGGAATTACTGTTGAGGTGGGATTATACAAGCTACATGCCTCGGAATAGACTAGGATCAATGTCTCATTTCCGCAGTGAATGAAGGAGCAATCAAAAGATGGTGAGGGAATCAAGTCAGTGTAATAGGCAGCTGGCCAAGGCTTACTACTCCTAGTACAGATCTGGCCTCCATTCAATGAATTCCAACTTGAAGAACTTGGACTCAGATCGTTTGATCTCTGACGCGGATGCTACTAGTATTAGCATTGACCGACATGTGACCGTCCGAGTCAGACAACCACACTGCGACCCTTTCAACCGATACTGATTGATGAACCCAGTGTGTCAATCTCGAGCAAAGTTCAGCATCACTATCGATGTGTCAAACATATCATATGATAATGATCGATTCGGCCCAGACTCTGACATCTGTACTAGTAGGCGCAAGGCTTACTACTAGTACTACGGATCTGGCCTCCATTCAACGAATTCAAACTCGAACTTGAACCTGACTCATCGGATCGTTTGATCTCTGACTGCGGATACTACTAGTAGTATCAACCTGAACAGTTGACTCAGGACCGTCCGAGTCAAACGACCACACTGCGACCCTTTCAACCGATAATTGACAAGTGTCAATCTCGAGCAAAGTCAGCATCACTCGATTGATGCAGTCAAACTTTGTGGCATATACCGTATACATCGATTCGGCCCAGAGTGACATTCGTGCTACAAACTTGAACTGCTTTTCTTTTCTAGTCTTCCTGTTTTTTTGTTATTGTCCTATGGTGTTTCTGAGTCCCAGCGCATGAAGTTCAAGTTCGATTGATACTTTTATTCGCTGTGTCGAAGGCTCTTCTTCTTCTCTTGCCAAGGATTCGCAGCTCACCATCTACCATAGTACTAATAGGTCGTGCATCTGAACAATGCAAATGCCGATACTTTGCTCGCTTGGACTTGGGGCCAAGGCAGTGCAAGAGTACACGTAAAGTGCGAAGTCAAGTCTGCATCAATCCTTTTTACCACACATTGATCATAATCCGAAAGCTACCATGACCTGTACTGTCCCTGTAAGTAAAATTTCTTGCAACTACTTTCCCTCTATAGTAACTACCATGTCTTTATCCCGTCTATTTCGCTGTTCTTCACCATATGCAATCACATCAAGGACTGTCTGCCAGTCAGTGCCGGTTTTCTCCCAGCAGATGCGCTTGATAGTCAGGGTGCCGCAGCCATTCGGAAATAGTACGTTCTCCTTGTCGATGGTGTCGACACCTCCAATCTTCCTCTTGCGAGTCTGACGAGTACCACTGCTAGCGGTGTGAGAATCTTGAGCTTGTACTATGACTTTACAGCCAAAATTGGGACCAGCTCCAGCCTCCAGATTTCCATCAGTACTTGAATGAAAACACGCGGCTGCAGACACCTACCTCTATCCTCATTGTGGCGGCTTCCTGACTTTCTGACTTGGACATCCTCAAGTTGTCCAAGGCCAAGCGAGTGTTAATTATATTCTTCTGCAGCATAGTGTCACTTGGGGAGTTGATTCAGATGTTCGGACTTCAGGGGTGAGCTTTTTTATATTAGCTATGTGACTGGTGATGTACTATGGTAGGGCAGAGACTCCAACACCATATGCACATTCTCAAGTATGTGTAGCCTTCAGCGGCTGAGTGCTTCGTAGCACAATTTAGGCAATAATTCTGGCTACCCTGAAGTAAGGTTCGAACCCAGTTCCCCATCTTGGTATGTGCTAAAATTAGTTCCATTTTGGATATGTATTAAGTTCCCATTTTTGTGATGTGCTATAAGAAAAAAGACTTATACTTGCCTATGAGCTCCAGGACGTTCAAACTCCGATGGGCCTATTTACCATAACCCTTACGCATGCCAATTGTAGTAACACCTCCAACCTAAGACCCCACAAGTTGAAAAATTATGAACACCAACTTCGCTCCATCTTCCGGCAATGAACTTGAACTTCAAGCTGAAGGGAGTCCATGTGTATACCCCTCCACACCTCTTCAGCACCCTTGTTATCCTTCCGCTGCTAGGACTCCCAGTACTCCCAGCCATCATTCAATTTCTCCTCCAAGCTCACCATCATTAGTTTCTACAACAGGATCAGGTATGAATGATCATTTGTAGTAGTTACTGGTGGATAGACTCAAATTTAAAAATAATAGCAGCCCACACCACATCAGATGATGAGATGTTTCCTCCAACGCCTAATTCCAAGATCTCATTCCATATTGCTAATAACGGAACTGGGCCGCAGACTCTAAGTTGTTCTCTTGAGAGCAAATATGGCGATCTTCCCCATTGCAGGACCACATCCTTTGAAGACCAATGTCTTTTTGACCGATTGTCAGGCTGGTCTGTTGATTTAATGACACATCAGGAAGCCGTTCAGCAAGAGGGTAGGAATTGTTTTCGAACATGTCTCTTAGTAGTTCTGATAGTATGTGTTACATTTAGGTTAGGGATGCGTATACGAGCATTTTGCAAGACCTTAGCCTAAGCTCTTTCCAATGCATTGTCCACTATCTGGAAGCCATTCGTGAAAGTCACCGCATGCTCTACCACGCCGCATGTTGGGAAGTCTTCGGAACACGAAAAGGCGGGAAGCTCTCGCCTGTGTCATGCGCGAAGATTCAAAAGGGACTACTTGAAGTCTAGAGCAAGAAGTGCAGTTTTTACTGGATATCTTGGGTCAACGCGTGGCATTGTCCATTGTAAGAGCAGATTCCACTACGACCTCAGCGCGATAATGGCCGATTCGAGTAGTGAGCCTAAAATTGTTCCAGTTCAACTGAGGGAACAGAACAAGCAAACCCAATTGCTGCCTCAGTATAAAATATGAGGGGCATGACAACGAGTCCAAGGGCGGCCGATCCAATATGTGTTCACCGTAAATGGTTACCCGTAAAGCCGACCAACTATAATTTCTACCGACCGCTATGCGGTGCGTGAGCGAGTGCGGCCGACTTAGATAGATGATGGGGAACGGAAGTTTTAAGACAAACGTGCGGACGGATACGAGAATAGGATCAGAACAGAACAGAACACAAAAGACACGGCTTCTGAGTGAGAATTAACTGAATTGCAATAATGGGCGAGCACTCCTTAAGTACAAAATCGGCTACTAGGTAAATAATGGAGATAATCATCGCTTGGGATGTCCGGGCTACCTCATGGTTTGCTAGAAATGTACGCAGGACATGCGGTCGATTGTCCGTGATATGTACGGGGATATGTGAGAGTAAATTGGTCCGAGCCGCTTAAGGCGACGTAATAGGGAGTTTGAGAGGTAAAAGTACTGTATCTGTCAAATAAACCAAAGAAGAATATCTACGCACAGGACATTTTATGGATTGGGTCACTGAGTTCTGTGGTAGAAGGCAAAACCGCACGCGACCCGATGATGCCATTGATTCTCTGCCAAGTGCTTGTGGAGCGCTTGAACGCGCAGGGCGGGAATTCTGGTCGATAGTGCGCGGGCGGTGAATTGCATGGTGTACTCAAGGGATACAGTCGGGCGATCCGCGTCCTACAGTCAACTGTTGCAAATCCCAAGTGCGTGACACAGCAGACTTCGTAGACGATGCTGTGTCCTCGTGCAAGAGTCCCCTAACTGGTATGTGTTACTTTAGGTATTTTCTCTGGTCACTTACGTGCTTACAGAGCTTGTCCAGAATGTAGATGACCGTTTGTGAAGATTATATCAATCACTTCTTATGTATCGTCTGTGGTATTGTTACAATTCTGAACTCACCTTCACAATACCAGTAGTGTCACCGAATCATGTAACGTAGTACGCCTGATTTTGAAACCACTAGTCGAGTCGTCTATCACAGTCACTCACATTCTTGCATCACCCTTTCAAATGACTGATACTACCATAAACGTGGTGCTGAAACTTTCTGAAATTTCAAAATACGTGACTAGTATAGTATGTCCATGCCACTGGCTGCAACTTAAGTCCTTGCAAGTGCTAGTCAGCTCCAAAGTGCCATGCGCTTTCCCCAAACGCTTTGGATCGGTGTATTCCTCTTTCTTCAAGTTCTGATGGTGTCTTGCAATGCTCCAGGCTGTTCCTGGGAGAGGACCACGGACAATCGGGGACTCAGTAGGCATCGCGCATCCTGTTTTTTTTTCAAGAGAGCCAGCAGTCTGGCGAGTCGGAAGCGACAAGATCGCGCAAAGGAGGCGTGTATAAAGCTTTCCAAAGCACAGTCAGTTGTGGTGAGTGACGTCTTTGCTAACCTTCCGAGCTGTACTAAATTCTCAACTTTGGCAGGGGCTTGGAATCTCAGTCGTCGGACATCCAGTGAGGGACCGTCCAAATTTGAAACCGATTGCCCCTTGCAGACTCCTCAGGTCAATTGCTATGGCTCACAGTTCATGCAGTGCGTTTGAGTCGAGTCTTGTAGACTCGCAGTACACCCTTGGCTCAGACTCGGAGAAGCCACAAATTGATCAAGTCGATGTTGAGATGGAGCCCGGGAGTGGTTCTGGTACCGACTACAAAACAGGTACGTGTCCCCTTTGGCAGTCACTCTGCGATGTTTACCTATTATTCTTGACATTTCAGAGGAGTGTGGCGCACTCTCAATGGGACGGATTCCGAGATTTCTCGATGATATCGAGCCTTCACCGGATGATCTCAATTATTCTGATAGTGCAGGCAACCCATTATTACAAACGGCCTCACTACCCGCCCGATCTAGAATTCAACACATTCTTCTAACCCTAAGAGACACCCTCAAGACCACCTTCAACTCATTTGGCCTCTGTCAGTTCTATCCACGCCGTCCTTCCTTTGAACCGGATCAGTTGATTCAATCATTGCTACTTGCACAAACGGCTCCAACAGCCACCAGCAGTAATACTCAAGGGGCTGATTCTCCACCAAAGGTCTTCGCACCGCCTTACCCCTTTCCCAACATGTCTGTCTATCAGCTTATGTCTTGGATGCATTCTGGTGGTAATCTATTATCAGAAACTAAAGTCTCGCACCTGGTCAAAGATGTCATTCTGGCGGATGATTTCGACCACAAGGATTTCGAGAACTTCTCGGTGAGGCAGAGCTTGCAAAAATTGGATATGGATGAGAGCGGCAAAGGAGTTACTTTTCCAGACGATTGGGTTCAGACTGGTGTCACTATCAATATTCCCACAAAGTCAAGGGAGGATGGCCCTCAGCCTTACACTATCCAAGGATTCCATTATCGACCTCTCGTTGAAGTCATACGTGCGGCATTTGCAGACGTACAAGCTGGGGCATACCATCTTTTTTCCTTTTAAACGGTTATGGAAGGACCCTCTAGATGGCCATGAAGAGCGGATTTACGACAAGCTCTACACCTCAGATGCCTGGCTAGAAGCTTAGGACGACATTCAGAGGCTGCCAAAGGAACCTGGATGTTCACTGGAACGTGTCATTGCTGGTCTGATGTTTTTCTCCGATGCCACTCATCTAGCAAACTTTGGGACTGCCAAGGCCTGGCCGCTGTATATGTATTTCGGAAATTTGACAAAATATGCACGATCATCACCCAAGTCAGGGGCATGTCACCTGGTAGGGTTTTTACCTTCGGTAAATTTTCCTTTTTGCCATATATATGTCTACTCCTATTGACAATATCAGCTTCCTGACAGTGTCAAAGATATTTTAAGTAGCCTATCTCGCATATTGAAAATGGGCATAGTGTCCCTTCATGCCCACTGTCGCAGGGAGTTATTTCATTCCTGCTGGGACATTTTGTTGGATGAAGACTTTCTGTCTGCATACCACCATGGCATTGTTCTGAAATGTGCCGACGGAGTGGTGCGGAGGGTCTTTCCCCGAATTTTCACGTATTCCGCCAATTATCCTGAAAAGTGTGTCGCTCCATTCACCTTATCAAAAAGATCAAATCACTCATAAATTTACAGGGCTCTAATCGCGACTATCAAAGACATGGGCTTGTGTCCGTGCCCTCACCGTCTGACACTGAAAAGCCTGTTTAATTTTCTTGGGCTTTCGAGGGACATGAAAAATCGTGTCGCCAACCTTCGTGAGTATGTGATGACGAGGGTAGTCAAAGCTCGTAGTTTTATCTACATGAATGGAAATACAGTAGACGGTGTCAAGGTAGAGCATACCCTTGGAGAGGGCTCTTGGGTACCTACTCTGGTAAGTGAGACTACTTTTCTTATTATTATCAGCTCATGCACTCTACTTGCAGAATCAATTTTCTCAGAAGCTTGGACCGCTCGGCTTCGACTCATTCCGCATGCTTGTAGTCGACTTCATGCATGAGTGTGAACTAGGCACTTGGAAAGTGCTGTTCACACACCTCCTTAGGCTCCTCCATGCCCTTCCTCGCGGTAGTGAGCTTATCACGGCCCTTGACAGCAGGTATGGGGATCTCGTAAGCGGTGCTGTTGCCTGCTAACAATCGCCAACCCTTAACCTTACTGTAGGTTTTGACAGGTCCCGACCTTCGGTAACGACATTATTTGTAAGTTCTCAGACAACACATCTGAGATGAAAAGATTAGCCATGCGTGATTTTGAAAACATATTACAGGTTTTTCCTACTTACTAGTTGTCTGTATTTGACCCGCTGATAGATCTTCATTGTCAGTGTGCCATTCCAGTCTTTGACCAGCTGTTTCCCGCCAAACATGATGCGCTTGTGCAATCTCTGCTATATCGATTTGCAGAGTGGCATGCATTGGCCAAGCTTAGAATGCATTCGGACTCTACAATAAGTTTTCTCGAGGAATCTTTCAAGAAACTGTCTCGGATGTTGCGAAAATTTCGAGACGACACTTGTGCAGCTTTCACTACTCTGGAATTACCCAAGGAAAAAGTAGCCCACCAGCAAAGAGCTGCCCAACGCTCTGTAATGAATGGCACCATCCCAGAGTCCAACAGGCCGAGGATGAAGAGGTTCAACTTGGCAACCTACAAGTTTCACGCCATGGGGGATTATGTGAGAACCATCCGGCTTTTTGGGACAACGGATTCCTTCTCTACTCAAATTGTAAGTACTGTCTAAATTCATGCTATGTACCTAAAGTTAAGTCGTGTCAGGGAGAGCTTGCTCACCGAGCACTGAAGGCCTTTTATCCACTGACCAGCAACGTAGATACCCCGGCGCAATTAGCCAAACACGAGTGTAGGTGCCACATACTACAATGAGTAGCAGAAGTTGGAGACACACAGTCCTCTAGCAGCCAACCGCCAGCTAATGCCCCCCCATCGGCATCCTACGAAAAGCATCACCATATCACGACTACTCGGAACAACCCAGTCGATGTTTTTGCATTTCTCAGAGAAAATGACGGTGATCCTGCCCTTAAGGTAGAAGTAACATTGTTCTGGCAGCACGGTATAATTTATTCACAGAGACACTTAGAATTTTGTACCAAAACTAAGGGACCACATCATCTACAGGTTGCGGGAGCTAGATGTTAGCTGTTGCGACCATACGTTCACAGACGAGGAACAAAACTCTGTTATTATTCCCAATAACATGATCTACTCCGTCCAGACTATGCAGGTGCACTATACGACCTATGACTTGAGGCGCGAGTATGACATGATCAATCCAAGAACACATGGGGATGTCATGGTGCTTTCAGGAGAGACAACCCCTAGCCACCCCTACTGGTATGCCCGGGTATTGGGCATCTACCATATGGAGGTATGGCTCAGCAGTAGAGCTCAACCAGTGAAGCGGCATCTCGAGGTACTCTGGGTAAGATGGCTGGCAGCCATACAGGGCCATAGGTCTGGCATTAAATATGCTCGCCTTCCAAAGATTGGGTTTGTGGAGGAGTCCGACCGGGATGCCTTTGGGTTCCTTGATCCTGGGCAGGTAATCCGGGGGGCACATCTGATCCCTGCGTTCGCCACAGGACGCGGTGTGAGCTCACTGCGCTATGGAAAGTCACTGGCACGCCCTGGAGGACAGCTGGATGACTGGGAGCAGTATTATGTTGGGATGTAGGTGGTACAGATCTCCTAGTAACGCATTAACACTCAAATTTCGAGCCAGATTCGTCGATCGTGATATGTTTATGTGGTATACTCACCTTGGTGTCGGACATTCCCCAATGCTACGGAAGATCGCTAGGGATTGCCTGGGTTCTGTATCAGTGGCACTGGCCGATCCTATGGACAATGTAATTGAAGATAACGAGGATGATGCAGACCTTGAAGAGGCTGACGACGGCCATGAAGAATGTGAAGAGGTACTTAACGGAGAACTAAATGAGGGAGCTATGGGGGACAATGATGGTGACGAGTACGATTGGGATGACCAGTGCAATCATAATTATGTCTCTTTCTAAAGCTCCCTCCAAAGCTCGTAAAGTTGAGCTCAATTTTCATTACTGTGGCATACCTTCGAGTCATCCAAGTCATTCAAATAATTTGATAGTCACTACCGGGAAGTTATTATCTATCAGTGGCAGATTCAACACACCATTGAACATTTGCCAACCGTGACAATGCCGACTGATAATTAATATTGTTGTGCACAAGTCAGATATGAATCTGCTGTGTCGCGAACACATGCTTTTTGTGCATTATTATCAGGCTTCTGCGTTATATGCACTCAAATGATATATAATCATCACAAATAGAAGTGAGCTTTGTGATGGTTGTTTGTACTTATTGAATCCTAAAGCCTTCAACATGCAGACCAGACAAAGCGCCATTCCTTTGAAAATGCATACTGTCAACTCGTCTTCTAGCTCTACTTCCAAGGCATCCAGAGAGAAAAGAAAACTCAAGACCGTGAAACTTGGAGTCACCATCCTCTGAGCCTTCGAACAAGAAACTAAGAACTGTCATAAATTGGGGATGCCGCGTCTTTGCCCGGTCTTATGCTACGCGTCAACTTGAAAAACAAGCTAAATCATCCTTCAAGTTGCACTCGCTGTCATATCAGTCTAGGTGCCGGTCCAAGCGAACAACATTCTCCCTTGCCAGATGCTGAAACGATGTCGGGTACTGAGGCAGAAGGAGGCGGTTGTTGCTGGGGACTCTGCGTATGTACTATCTGTTGAATATTGATGTATGTGAAATTGACAAATTTGCAGTGTCTGGAAGAGCTGTCACGAATTCCTAATACGAACCATTTTTCATTTCTCGGTTTTCCTTCGGCTACTTCCAGTACCCGAACTGGTCACATGACTTCTCACCCTGTCACACCTTCACCTCTTCACATATCACCCGTGGTTTCTCCGATTGGCTCCCCTACTCCACGGGCTAGAACAATCTCGCTTCCCGAAGAAGGACCGATCGGATCTTGGGTTTCTATTTAGTAACCGTCTTACTCAGTTGCTTATATATCATGATGTCATACTTACTCATCTGCAGTATCATATGACTCTTTTCTCATTGGCTGATTTCTTTCAGACTCCTACTCAATGTTATGTATAAAAGTAGGGTAGTTAGCGTAAGAGCTCCTTAGACTTAACCTCTTTGTTTCTACTGTTGTAGTGACCTAGATGTTCACGCTCAATCTATCCTGTTGCTCATCATCATCTCTGACCGGGTCCTAGTGGTTGTGTACTCACCTTCATCATTATTGGTGAATGTTGGTCATAACAAGAGCTCAAGGCCCGGTTTGCGGAATATATGAGAATGCAGGATGATTCGAGGATACCTGTTGATCTATTCAGGATGACTATCCTTACTGGGTGTCAGACTGCCCGTTATTGACCCGACCAATGAAGATGAGTGTGCGGACCCCCTCCGAGTCTGAGTCGATCACACTGAGGCGGCTACCCGACAGGATTACACCATCCAATCTCGCAGGGCTATACGAGCTTAATATACTAGGAGAGTATCAAGCATTCTGTTTTTGACTTTGTTCCTTATATCTAATGTTAGTATTTTCCTAAACAGGCATTTGCTCAAGCAACTTCATCACCATATTTTCAACGTTGTCCTGAATAGGAATATGCTTTTTGTGTGGCCAGCCAACAGGTATATAAGGTACGAGGTGATTAGTATCATCCCTCGTCCCCAAGTCGTGCTTTCCATCCTTCCCTTTGCTGTGCAATGCCCTTCTCTATACCAGCTCATTTTTTTCCTTTCCCCTTGTCTCTATGGTGCATGCCAAGGACATCCCACCAGACACCGAGAACCAACAGGACGACGGCAACGTCGAAGGCATGCAGAGCGAGCATCGCAAAACATCTACAACCAACGTGCACAGCCAACAGTCTGCAGTACAGGCAGCATCTGTGCAGGACAGAGACGAAGAATTGCCCAGTTGGAGGAGAAGCTAGAGGCTCTTGAGTCGGGGCGTGTGGTCAAAGAAAAGTATGACCGCTGTGATCGCACGTACTACTCTATCATTCACTTTTCTGACTGTATGTTTTAGGCAAGCAAACTATTACGCAGCTCAGGGAAGGGCGATTAGGCGCATTGTTGCTCTATTCGATAACGTTGAGGACCTCATTGCTGAAAATGATCGAAGATATGAAGGTGGCGACGAAGACCATACTATTGAGTGAGTCTTTCGACTTTGAAGTTGGTTTGTGAGTGTTAACCATGAGCTTGATTATGTAGCCAAGATCGGCTACAAATAGGGTGTGTCACCCTCTCAACCACCTTACCGTGGCTTTACAGGAATGGGTCGGAGATGGAGCACGATGAATACACGCAGATGTTGAAAATGGTTGGTTTTACATACATCAGTGATTGGTTCTTTGTTGCTGAGTCTTTTTCTTATAGCTTCGGCAGGGGGCTGACAGTGCTCGAGGTGACGATACCTCGAAGCTCAAGGCTCTTGTTTCTGAATGGGTCAATCGGGAATTCAAGCCAGATTCACCGGTCGACTCCAACGACAAACATACCCGTGGATTCTCCAACGATGCATGTGGCAGGCTGCTTTGCCCTGCCGAACTAGATTGGAACAACCCAGTGTAAGTAGTGCTCTTGGAATGCCGAAAAAAAATGCTCACTGCTCACCAGGGTCCGGGCAGGCATTCGAGATTGCTCAGAGGGCTATATCGTGACGGATCTCTCCTTTCCGGCCTACCTGTACGATGGGTATACTGCCAATCTGGATGATCTGGAGGAGGGTTTGTTCAAAGGCAAAATACTCATTCAGGTCTGTTTCACTAGTATAGCCTGGTTGTAATCTCACTTTTAGGCAGGGATATAAAGCCGTGTTCATGTCACCTTCCTCAGCAAAGGACGTCGAAGGTGATGGGGATGGAGCAGATATCATCCAGAACAACAGACGCGCCAGGAAGTCTTTCAATGGAGCTAAGGTCAAAAAACACGTAGCGCAGATCATCAATATGAAAAAGGTCACTCCTCACTCAATCGCATACATCGCATGCCTAGTAGGTCATAGTATTTGGCAAGGTCAGTGATGATGTATGATAACCATTCTGGCAGGTTTGATTCTCACTTTCTTCGGTTACATCATGGCGGTCTGTTGATGGCGATTTTGACTATGTTCAATTCTGGTGTACTATTGTTGACTTCTTTGAAAGGCCCCCTGGTCGAGATGCGCAGCGCAGGGTCAACAAGCTTCTCGAGTGGTGGAGTAGGTGCGTCATGTATTTCTCTCAATAAACATCACCTGAACTCTGCTGTTTAGGAAGGTTTTTGGATGGAGCCACCATAACAACATCAGCGACGTGGCAAAGGCCAGAATGTCCGTCAATGCCCTCACAATGCAGAGGGCACAACACGATGATGCAGCTTTTGACTCGGCCTAGAGATCCCTCGTCGTATAGTTTACTATTACTTCCATATTAATGTCCAGCTTGATGCTAATCTGCTTGGTGTAAAATAAATGAATAATATTGAGCTACTACCTTCAGAGCGCTCTCCGAGTCCAATCCGGGGATTCATAAGCTTGCCGTGTCAGATGGTATGAATATGCATGCTTGTGTTGGTTAAGCTAAATCAGGGAGTGCAGCACAACCATGAGTATTCTTGATCATTCGCGCTAACAGTGCGATTCAAGCTCCAGTTCATGAATCTGTGTGCTTGTGTTGGATAAACTGGATCCGGGGAGTGCAGCGCAACCGTGAACATCGCTGAATTCTGTGCACAGCTACAACTAGAACATGATGCATGGCACAATACGTCTAAGGGCAGTTGAATTGTAAGCTGGGTACTGAGGTTGATACATGACCCTCCACTGCCAAATTTGAAGTCAAGGTACATTGCTACGATGACACATGGTCTGCAAACAGCTCCAACTTCTTGGGACGCAGTCGTAAGTGGTATATCACCGCCAGCTGTTAGCTATTCAGAGAGTATCATCTTGAGACTCGAGGCATGATACAAATTGATTGCCGCCTGCCTGTTTGAACAAAGCCCAGCTGCCGCGCAAAGATATAGCTTCTTCACACACATCCAAACCAATATACAGTTGACAAACATTAGACATATCAAAAAGATGGCTTTTAAAGTTGAAGTGACACACATGTATAGATTACATTGATGGCATGAGCCAAATATACATGATGGCTGTTGAATAGTAGGCAAAGTACTGTGGCGAGGGATGACCCTTGGCTGTCAAGTTCTGAGTCAAGTTACTAGGTCATAACTCCACAGTATTCATGCACAGCTGTGACTTCTTGGGACAGGTGACAAATGGACACAATTGTAAAAACATTCTGAAATCACAGTACCGCACATGGCACATGGGGTATTCAGGACGCTATCTTTATCCGCAGGCTTTCTGTGGTCTTCTCTTCGGTTTCAGGAGGTTTACATAAATGCCTAGTATTGCCCAGCAATAGCATAATCGTTGGGATCGACAACTGCAAACAGAGACTTTCCAAATAGACGGATAAATAATTACTAATGTAGGGGGCCAGAAACAGTCAACTTTACCGACAATGCAAGGGGACAGCAATTGAGTGTAGGACTGCGAGATGACAGTAATCGTAAAACACATCGAAATCATAAGCCTGCTAATGGTATATAGGCTAGCCGGGATATTCTCCTTGTCTATGGGCACATCAACAATCATTGAAGTAGGGTATAAAGACACACCATTTTACGGACAATGGCACAATGGATAGGACACCTATCAAATGGTAAATTGAGTGCCGAGGTGAACCATGAGCCACTGCTCTCAAGTCTCTAGCCTACTGTCTATGTCATGAAAATGTACCACCAATGCAAAGCTAAAACAAATTTGTATGGAATAGCCATCAATCACCACCCGACCAAAACTGCCTATTCAGAGCAGATAGGTTAAAGGTTCGATGTAGCATTTGATTTGGTTCTCGCTCAATCGACGCACAAATTATCGCTTCCACGAGAAGTTACAGCGGTTTTGTATGGAGTAGTCAATGATACCCGACAGAACTACATCATAAATTCAAAGCGCTCGGACCAATGAACCAAACCAGCATATCATTCGGTTCGAGCTCGATCTGTGGACAAATCGTCGGTCTCTACAAGGTACCGACTTCTGCTCTGATCTTAAAAATTGTGAACCTAGTTCTGCAAGTGGTAGGCATGACTCGTTCAGATCGAACATCAGATTTTGCACCAACTACCTCTCGATCTCGAGTTTAGGTGATCCATGAGCCTTTAGCAAGTTGCAAACCTGTGCATGCGAATTCAAATCTCCGCTTTCCTTTATAAAGTCAAGCATCACAATGCAACGGTCGGTAGCAGAATTATACTGATGTTGGTGATTGTCTACTATATATTGTAATATATGTCCTTCTCACGCCACCAGTTCACTGATGAGGTACCCAGAACCCGAGTCTATTCCTTTTTCTCTTCCAGCTATAATTCATGGAACTGCAGAATATGTTTGTCACCTGCCGTCCGTCGCAGTTGCTTAGTCTTCGAGAGGTTCGATTCTGCTGCACTAGACGCATCTGGGAGACATTGCAGCAGACCATCATTGGATGGTTGGAAGGGTAGGAACATCTTTTTTGAACACGGACGAGTTCCATCGTTGTGTGACAGCAGAAGCATCGCTGAATAGAAGGTAGCTTGCTATGACCTTATGTTGATTACATGTTGTCGTCTCTTGAGACCTGTGCTTGAATGGCTTGGTATCGCGTTGCAGCATCGAGCACATTTTTTGTCAGAGTTCCAGCACATAAACTTTTAGACTATACTCCTATCATTTCATGATCAAGGTTTGGAGGAATAAATCACTATGTCGCAGGATGTATCATGCATTGGCAGGCTATCACTGATTTACTCCACAGTAAGTGGACAGCTTGATCGTCTCACTGCCCTGCTCATCACCATTCGACAGACATACCGCGCTAAAACATCATTAGCTCAACCTCTTTGATGAATTACTGTTTACATGAAAAGGGATGGGTTTACTTTTGCTTGACAATGATAAATGATTACCATGAAAAAAGCGCGTTCAGCGCTTTTCATGTTTATCTGAACCAATAGTAGCCATCGCCGAACAGTCAGAGACAGTCACCCTAAGTGCAATGGTATGCGAGACGAGAGAAACCCGAAGAACGGGAGACTAGAGGAGTAAGGAAGAACAACAAGAGCGGAGAACAGCGTCTATGAATATTACGAGACTGCGCCATGAGTAAGATGCATAGCAACACCGCAGGCCTGCCTACCTAGATGCATTTCGCGGATGGATTTTGGGTCTCAATACTGGTATGACGAGTACATGTTCAGCCGATGAGGCAAATTTATTGTAAAATAGTATTCACAACTGAAGAGTGAACATCATGGTTATGTCGACTCAAGTTGTTTGAGGAATAAATACCGCTTACAAGAACCACAACAGGATAGGCACGTATGTGTACATCTAGATACAGAACCATGGCGCGTTGTGCGAAGGTCAACTTCTCACCGGGAATGGCAGGTATCGACTCTGCAGGTCCTAGTGAAGTGCTTCAGAGCAAGTCTAGATGTGAAAGATTCCCTCCCCTGGGAGGACTTCAAGCAAAGATCAGGTACTATCAAAGTCCTCAGCATGAAGTTGTACATAGTTCAAAAACCCGGTTTTCCTGCACCAGTCAAGTCAGTCCAACTTCCATAATCCAGGAGGCTTCACCCACCAGCCAACTTTTGTTGTGAAATGTCGCGCCAAAGGTTCACTCGACACGCTTTTTGGCAGACATACCGGGGAGGATGACCAATGCGGTTTGTGATTTGGATCCAACGAGGTGAATAGATAAACTATTGTGGGAAGGGCGGGTTGGTTGAACGGAAGACCGTGGTTCTGACCGAAGCCTGATGGTTGGTGAAAGCCATGCATCTGTTGGTGATGGAACTGATTCGGAGCGAACCGGGGATCTACTGCGCGAGCCGATGGGACAAAAGGCTTTGGTCGGAAATCATTGACATAAAAATCTTGATGGGTTCCGACATGCGTTACTGTCGTACCTGGTGAGCTACGATTCGCGCAGGATCAGGTCAAAGGCTCACCAAGTATCAATTGTTCTGGCCTGATGCCACTATCGACTGCATGGCCCCTCCCGTATTTCAATAGATACTGCCATGCATCCTTGACGCAAGAAAGATAGGCCTCGTGTACCACCACCACATCGATCTGACTGTACGGGGGCACTGCAACGGGCCATCTTGTCACCGACGTTATTATCGACTATTTCCTCCAGTTCTTAAAATTCTCACCCTGCGACAACTTCAGGCAGTTCGTACGCCTGGAGGGGTTGTCTGCGCATTGGAACATGCTTCCAGCACCAGTGCTCGCCGTGAGACCGATGAGATACGCTGAGTTCAGCTTTTCCATCTTTGATGACGTTGCTAAGAAGGACGAAAGATCCAAAGTCTCCTCCAACGGGAATGTACCCGATATCTCCGACAGAAAATTTATCAGCGGGCACGTTCCTTTCGTACCATGTATGACCATGTGCGCCTTCAGTATTCCAAGTGAGGTCCCGTATTTGTCGCAAAGTCAGCGAAGGTGTCTCAGATTCGGTATCTTCGATCAATGCTTCTAACTGCGTTGGGAGTATGGGGGACTGTCTCCCGCTAGGAAGTAGGGCTCGTGCCAGAGTGACGAGATGGTTGATTTTCTTTTGTATCTCTTCTGTCACTGTAATTTGTGTGAGCGAGAACTTCATCGTTGGCTTGAATTCATACCGAATTCATCCCCTCTGTCATAGGAGTAAGTGACGCGCCCGTTGTTTGGCAACATCTTGCACGCGCATCTCAGTATAAAGCCTAAAGCATGCAAAAGATGATACTCTTACTCGTAAACACGCATCTAGCAATGTATGCGCTAATCCATAGTTTCGCGCAGTATACCACTCGCCATCCCGAGGGGGAGGCAGACCAACTACAAGAGTTTTGAGAGAGTCAACTCGAAATGAGGACGCCTGTAGAAGTTAAGTCTGTAGGTATGAGTTGCAAGGGAGATCAGACGACGCACTTCGATGAAATCTTGGACCTTGTTCTCATCTAGGTCGAGTTGTCTCTGGACGTACATCGCTGTGTCCTAAATAATCATCAACTCAAGAGAACGGCGGAGTATTGGTTGTAAAGCAATCACAGCAAGGTCGCGATACTGTACCACTGTATCAAACGCTGATCACATAGCCAAAAGAACGGCTTACAAAACGCAACATGAGCTCCATGCAAGTCCCTAGACTAGACGAGCGTAACACTTCGCGAACCAGGGCTTGAGGCGTCTGCGTTTGCACTGCTCTTGGATTAGATATGATATCGAGAACACGACAGGAATGGATACCATTCGCCAGCAAGATGAAAGGAGTTGGGGCTCGTTCATCTGAGAACCCAAGCATCTGAGGTAAATTGGGATGACTAGAGAATGAGATTCAGTGGAATCCAAGGGCTAAGTTTGACATACTAAAGATTCTGCAGGACCTTGACGTCTCGCAACCATTTCTGAAACCTATTTTGAGTGACCACTGTATAGACCAAAAACGACCACTTTACTTTGTGTGCACTGTCCTTGTCATCGTCGTATTTCTTGATCAAGGCTCGTTGCCCTTGGACCTGGACTTCCGTCGCGCCAGCCCACCATCCGTCTTGCAATCTAGAGCACCCCCGTAGTATAATCTCCGACTGGTGGTATCGCCGAAACTAGGGTACACAATAAATGAGCAAACAAAAAGACGATCAACCTGATGACTTACTCCATGATCATCCTCCAGTGTCAAGGACGAAAGTTCCTCGGGTAGATAGTGGTCTGTAATTCTATTCTCTGGTAATGACAAGGATTCGGCTCCTGCCCCCGCCGGAGCATCGGATACAGCAACTAGAGGCTCCGATGCATCGATAACCTCCGGGCTTTTAATCTCGACTGTTTCCGAGTCTGATTCATTGAGAGTCTCATGATAGGCAGGCGGAGAAGCATCCAGGACTCTTTCCGTAGTTGCGTCTGAAGTGGCGTTCCCTATCAGTGAGCTCACGGCGAGGTGTATATTGATGAGGGTGGCGAGCTTCGTCACAAGGGCTTTTCAGTAACTGGAATCTGAAATTCAACAATACGCACACCTGAAAAGACTGCGCGGCCTCGTCAAGCATGCGCATGTACTCGGCCAGAGCGTCGTCAAATGACGACTTACGGAGGAACCTATCACTCCATTTCGAATCGGCTAATTTTCTCATGAACCGGTGGATAGAACTTAGGGTGCTGTTGAGAGTCGAGAACGAACGCTTCGTCAAGGACCATCGTGTTACAAATAACAGCCAGGAGTACCTTTCGAACTTGTCCAAATTCCTCAGAAGCATCTCCGGGGCTTCATGGTATCGCCCACGCATTTGCTCGTCAATGTCAATCAGTATTTGTGCGGCACGACGTGCCAAGCGGTCACAGCCGGATCTGTTGACTTGAATGCTCTATATAAATGTGAATACAACTCGCAACACGCGCACAAATGTATATTTCATCCGTCTGCTCACCTGGATAGTTTGCAAGATTAGGAGCAAAACTGAGACAGCGGCAGTGGCTGGAGGAAACTGCAGAGTTGCCATGAGATCCCTGGCGAACGCCGTTGTCGTAATGGCTGCTTGCAAAGGGTCGACATCAATCCGTAGCTTTTTCGTACGAACGAATCTGAGCGGCATGGTGAAGAAGTTGACTGATAGCAGTAGCCGAGTCTTTCTACCGAGGGGACAACCCGGGGCCGTGGCATGCGATAAAGCAGGTCAGTAAAAAGGATTGTGATGGGGCAGCTGAACTGTTATCGTGGTGTGTTAGTACCGCAGACAGTCAGCTTGAAAGCGCTTAATGTTCAGAAAAACACATCATGAGAGCAACACGACAGTGTTGTTGAGCATGCAGCCGCGCGCGGAGATAACAAGGAGGTCACCAGCTGTCACTACTAGTAGGCCAGCCTGAGCGTGGAGGGCTGCATACGAACTCCAGTCAATATACTTACTCCCGAAAATTGCATTTATTACTATCAGTCAACCAGCTGCTAGAGGCTTCCCAAGTGAACTGGACTGATAGCACAAATATTTTACCCTGGAGTTGAATGTTAAAAAAGATCACCTAGTGAACGTTGAGTACGTGGCCGCGGAGATATAAATGTCCGCTAGCCGGTTTAGAACTGGTCTGCATCAGGCCCCACTACGAAGCCTTCCTCAGCCTCATGACTTGTTAACGAACTTCATGCTGCTTATTGCACAACCCATCTCGGGACCATGGCCGTTGTGCAACGTTCAGCTTCGAACGCTTATCCTCTTTCAATTCTGTATACTTATGGGCTACAAATAAGGAGACTCCGGCTGTGTCACAACCTCCCCTCGAGCTGCTACAAGATTCTACTAGGCCTGACCATTCCCGCGCACCAAGATAAACTCTATCATTTAATCCTTGTACATCATTTGTCCTGCAAGCCTGACGTCAAACCAGTCATGAATGTCAATTAGTAGAGCCAGGCACTTCATTTCTTGTTTCTTTCCCCCCTGATTTGATCGCCCATCTCAAGTGCTCGTTTCCCTTCCAACCAAAGCATTGCCTCTGTTGTTCCGCAGGTTATCATTTGAGAATTCATCTGAAATGCACTCGCCCGTACCTTGGTAGGTCTTCGGAACGACCGTTCTAAGGACCGCTGCACCATCATCTGGATACCAGGTGAAGCGGAAATCATTAGTGGTCTGCTCGTGGCCGGTCCGCACGTCCACAACGTTAGCTTGGACTCCAACGTGCTGAAAAAAAACGGCGGTTAGGCAGGAACGGCAGGAACATTGCAACATACCACTACACCAGGACGCTTCCCAGGGGAAGTGTGAAGAACTTGCGAGGTCAGCCGTAATATAGATCCTATGGGAACAGGTTTTGCGAAAGAGATACTGTCCAGTGACATGAATGTTACATGCGAACGCGTGAAGAGTGATGCATTCGCAAAACCAAGCTGGGAGCGCTATATTGACGAAGTGGCTGCAGAATTAGCAGTTAGCTCACCTCATAAGCAAGTCGCATAAGATAGCCTTCACAAGACCATCAGTGTTGTATGATTGCAGAGTTTAAGATGATCACCTCCGAAGACTTTCTGGTGAACACTTCGAACATGTCATTAAGGCGGAACAAAGACAAGGCTTTAAAAGGGAAACTAACTTGCGCTCTTGAGGGAACATGAGCATGGTCTTCTCCAGATGCGTGTCTCCCATCGAAACGCGTTCATAGTCGGATACGTGACGATCATTTTCTTGTCCGTATTTTAAGTACATTGAGTGCAGTTCAGCAGCTTCAGCAGAACTAGGAGGTACCCTAGAAAGAGAGCGAAGGGCCAAGGTTTGCCTGCGCTTCTTGGCATCTACATTTCTTCAGCGGATCCAATTAAATGTGTGAGACTACGACGCACTTTCGCCCATCGAATACAAGGCAGTCTCTTCAGGCGAACCGAGTTTAAGTGGGTTTACAGGCCGAGCCTTGCGAGTTCGGGCGTCCCTGCATACCATAGCGAATCGACCTACAAGAACGTTTCTTTTCAAGTCAGATGTTCAAAATGCGGCGGCTACTGACCAAGTAGCAGAGTATCTTCCACGCCGCTTGCACCGAGAGTTTCCATTAGGGTTCCGCACGGGTAACACCGCGGGTCGGAAAGCTGACACCGTACCCGTACCCGCCAACACCGTACCCGTCACGGGTACGGGTACACACCGACCCGTCAACACCGCGGTTGGATGAAAAACACCGCGGGTACATTACCAAGAAGAGTGTATTAACAACAACTGAATAGATATTACTACTTTTCCTCGTCGTCCTCCTCAGCTTCGACTTCATTTCGCTTCCGTTTTTGACTCTTTACAGAGGCTAGAAGGTCCTCCATCGCCAGAAGATCACTTCTGCCCCAGGCTCCGAGGCAGAGAAAAGCACGAATTGTTGATGGTGCGAGTCGGTTGCGAGTAAAATGAAGGAGCTGCCGGCCCTGCGAGAAGACACGTTCAACCGCAGTTGATGTTGCTGAGCGAGATAATAAGCACTGATTGATTGAAAAAGGATTTGAGGGTGGCATACCTGGGACGGAGAGATAGTCTAATGCCATCCACATCATCATCGGCTTCAGATGCTGACAATGACTCGGAGTTGAATGGCTTCAGCAAAGCTTTTGCAGCAAGCTGGAGAGTATGGTTAAAACATCGAACACGGTTGACAGACTCAAATGAGTTATCGAGGCTCGCGAGCTTTGTTGTTTGAGAATCATTTGCGGTCGCATTATCAGCATTAACTGCAAGAATCTATGATCTTCAAGTTAGCGTGATTTCTGCAATATTCAGAATCAGCTTACTCTCTTTGTTAGCCCAAAGCGTTCAAGCATTGCTTGAAAGAATTTTGCCATCGCAGCACCAGTATGTGACTAAGATATATCATGTAAAGATTGGTGGAGCATTTGATATGGCCTGGTGGCGAAGTGTAAGTGTGAGATCAACAGTGTCTGTGGGTTTCGATCGAGCAGACCGAGACACAAATGACTGTTTGACCTTCTTCAAGGGGCGGGCCAGAGCCTTAGCACCCTTTGCGACAGCCTTTTTGAGTGACTTGGCCTTCTCAGAGATGGACGACGAGATAGACTTAGACGATGAGTGGGTAGACGAGGCATCATATGCCTTCTTTGCGAGCTTGGTTTTCATGGAGACGATTTGGTAGACTTACTGGTCTCGAGTTTTTGCCTTGGCTTTATGGTAGTGACTCGAGCTTCTCTGTAGCAAAGTGTCAGCTCGATAAATTGCTAGAATGATTCACAGGGCACGAAAGACATGACAAAAATCAGTATAGCATTGGGTTGTGATCCTCAAGCACTCAGAGTAAGCCGACACAGAGAATTATAGTACGGTGTTCAGTGGCTGTCAAGGTTCCCGATTTGGTAAGTCATACCCGTTAAACACCGCCAACCCGCGGTAAAGGGTCGCGGTATGGTCACGGGTATGAATATCCAACACCGTACCCGTACCCGCCAAACCCGTCAGCAATGAACCGCGGTGTTACCCGTACCCGTGCGTTTCCCTAGTTTCCATCTTTACAGCTACTTCCATGGAACTTGTCCCGGTATATATAACCATGCCGCTCAGGCGAATATCCCTGACAGGCAAGAGAGGAGCGAGAACATCCAGCCTGGGTCAGGTATTAATGCATGGTTCAACTTCACTTTGACGTCCGCTGACCTATCAACAGAAGCGGTGACAATGTAAAAACCCTTTTCACGTATGCGACCAAGCGTTTCCACGCCCGGTCCCAACATATGCTTGTAAGATATCGATCCAGCAAGTGAGTCAAGGTGCTCCATAAGCATACCAGTCCGAAGTCCACCCCATGCGTTAGTATATTGCTCAAGCAACTCCGGAGAGGACGCAAAAGGAAGAAGGATTTCGGTATACGTATCGTGCATGTACCGGAGAGGAAGTGGCTGTTCAGGCGCGTGTGGTTCTACGGGACGGTCCTCAGACGATTTCGATGTGGAGGTGGCATTCAAGAGCGCCTCTGACCACAGCACTGACGTCCTCATCGGAATAATACTAGATTATGATTAGCTCCCTCCTTTCAGTATAAATGACACCCGCACTTGTGATAAGCAGGATTGGCCTTCCCACCTGCAGAGCCACCAACACGAGATCAGCTTAATATCGTCAAAACACTGCGCCCTGATACTAACTGACGGCTTTGAGAAGACCATCTAGCGCCTTGATATCCTGCGTTTCAGTTGCGGCCTTACGTTCGGTTGAGGTAGTTGTTGCCGAATCGGTTGTGTTCCATAGCGCTGGAGAAGATGATATCCACCGCTGAGAGGGGCCGAGGACATATTGGAGTGATCCTCTGCCAATGTGAAGTCACCGTCGTTTCAGCAAAAGGAGTGCAAACATACTTCTGGCAAATGCAACAGCCAATTTCAACCAGTGGGTTGAAAAATACAGTCTTCGGAAGATGGTCAGAACAACCGTGGACGTATAATGTTCCCCAGACTAAGTACCATACAAGTTGTACAGTACTGGTGGTGAACGTCTGAACAATAATAACTTCGGCTCAAGATGTTGCCGGACCGGACCGGAGATGCCTCATGATTGTGGTTTGGAAAGCAAGCCGTCAAGTACAACTGCGAGTTTAACAGTACCGTATATATATGACTCAGACGACGATTCTAACGACAAATTTGTGCCAGTCTACTGATTCATTCTTCCTGGCACGAAGCTCACCAAAGCATACCTGTGGAACGCGGCTCAGCACCTGTAAGTTGATGACCCAGAGTGTGTTTAACTCACTTCCCGCTTACTCTCCACTTTTCATCTCTGTTGTCAAGATCCTCTGCTACTTTCTCATCTATACCCACGGCTACGTCAGCCTTATTCGTACGAAGGCTGAGAAGTGGAAACGATCCTGCCAGGGGGCCTGCAGATCATCATTCTTACGCAATGTCGATTAACATTGTAATGGATTACCAACCGATCGCAGTTGAAAATGGAGTGGATACAGGCCACTTGACATCACCTGCAAGTCTGACGTCGGGTCGCAACAATGTCAGGGACGTTAACAAGACCTAAAAACACTCACTTGCGATAGCTTCGCCACAACATCAGACATCAGATTCTAGATATCAGCATGGGAATGATATCTACTTACTTGAGGTCCCCCTAAGAAATGCATGTCTCGAATGCTAAGCCCTTATAAGCTCACAGGAGCTACTCACCTTGAAAATGACCAACCCGGAACCACTCAACCACTGCCCCAACTCCGGTGCTAGTTCGTTCATGTTCCAGTAAGGCCACGGGCCATTCCAAAATTCCGTCATCTTCTGCCCATTACTGATGTCTGTGGCAAGCGTGAAGATGCCCCTGTCTATGTAATTTTGCCATCGAGTGACCATTTGTTGTAAGTGGGCAACAGAATCTGGACTGGTCGTGGAGTGTTGTGGAAAGAATGTGGTAGAAAGGAGAGACGAAATAGTCTTCGCAAAGTCAGTAGGGGTGACATCAGAAACAAACCACGGAAATAGTTTGGGGCTGGTGAATATAGTTAGAGGTTACGATCGCCTTGAAGTGAGAACCTTCCGATGACGTACTGAAACACAACTTGAGAGAAGTATGGAGTGTAAGTGACCAAAAAGTCCGCAAACACGAAATCAGTAAATAGCTGTACTCCGTCAGAGGTTAGCAGTCGTGCCTATCGTTGCTTGCAGAAACGATCGATGACGAACCTCAAAACCAGCTGTTCATAACGGATGATCAGACACAGTAGCAGCAAAGGGTGCCAAAAAGTACCGTTGTCTAGTACAAAGTCTAAACGCTTTCCTTGATTGGCCAGAGTCTTGATGTAACTCCAAACAGCAGCTTGATCGTCCTTGAGAATGAATTCTGTCCTCGCCTCCTGAGCCTCTTTACCGACCGTCTGCAAATGTTCTATGTCCGACTGCGAGAGGTGCGTCAAGAGAGAAAGATCCTGCATATATCGACGTCAACGATCTGCGAAAATGAGCCTCACGGAAGACTTGCTGTTGCATTGCCCCTACGTCGGGCATCTATTAAAACATCTCGAAGACGAAAATTCCCACTAACCAAAGGCACATCTGAATCATCTCCTTGAATAGCACTTCAAGCTTATCAGGTTCTCCTTGAAGTTTGGCCTTCTCACTTTCCAATTCGTGCATCGTGGTTGCGATCTCTAGTAAAAGCATATCCTGTCAGTCTTTCCGGAAAAAATCAAGGCACGGTCGAACATACGGTAGATAGCTGTTCCGCTACTTTTGAACATCTCCTCTTTTGGAGTAGAAAACGGGTCAAATCCGCGCCAGTATGTCTTCTGGTTAAAATACGTGCGGATCAGACGGTATCTATGTGTGTTTAAGCTTGTAGTAACTGCTGTTCAAAGCAACATACAAATAGCACCTGCACGTAAAATTCAGTCATTCGAAGTGTGTGGGGGAGACCTGGCCTACTCTGCATATAACCACGGTGCCTTGAACCAAGTGTTCTGGGACGTCTGTTTCAGACTCTCGAGGTCGGCATTATATTCAGCGACTAGAATGTCCCCATCCTGAGGAATTTCTCTGTGTTATGTTATCAGCCTACCAGGGATCTAAAATATGTTTAGGAAAAGTAGTCATCTTCTACCCACTCGAGTTCGTGGTCCCTTGCCATGCGATACTTCAAACGGCTTATTTCCGAGATAATTTCTTGCCCCTCGGTTACCTTCTTAGATAGCTCTTCTACCTTAGAAGCATCCGAATTGTGGGCTTGTTGGGCTTCTAAAGTCATGTCATGGAGAAGACGATGCACATGATCGATGATGTTTGTCAAGATGATGGGCCACCTCTTCACTACTGTTTCATATCTTGATGGTGCACTAGTCAACCAGCGACCTCTCGAAGCGCGAATGAATGGAAACTCACGAGAATCTGTATGTGACGGTTAGGCGTCAGCTGTTTTTTCATGCCGAAGCGTCAACTCACCCAGATGTATCAGTTGGATCATAAGGTGGGTATGGTGCTTTGAACATCTTGCGCTGCACGGACTATTATGTTCCCCTCGACTTTCTAAGAAGAGATTAAAGATAAGATGACTACAATCTACAACTTGATTAGGCTGACGATGGAAGACTGTGGGAAATCTCGAAAGCGGCATGAGTTTGGTGTCGGTGCAATTGGACTTTTGAAATTCAGGGCTCTTTCAAGCTTAAGCTTTACTAGCTTCAAGCTCAAGGACGATCCCTTGCGCAGCTCGACTTTGTTGACCGTGGCAGCTACGTCATGGCAAGGTAAAACAGTCGACTCTTCCTTGACTTTTCAGCTAATTCTGCCATCCACGTGACACATATAAATTTACAAATAACACGTCAACAAACCCCCAGACGCATTCGTTATGACCATCATGCCTCACAAACTCAATTCCCTCCCTTCGCAAATGAGTCTCCTATGTCACGATCTTGAGAGTATGTTGTGATGTATGGTTTATGGTCTTTGGGGCTGAGCTTCCATTTTAAGGGGCTCGAGCCAAAGCGAAACGTGATCCTGACCGGAACTCTCGCAAAATCCCAAAGCCACACGACTAGGCAGGAAGATCGCCACCAGCTACGTGTTTGGCGACGATGAGCGTCTCTACAACAAATTCCGAGTGAGTTCAACAATTGAGACGTACTTATATGCGACTCGACTTTGTGCTTCTAGGCTATAGACCGCCTCTCGTCCATCAAATATCTAGATATTACGAAAACAATTCGAGAGCAAGACCAACTTTTTCTTACTCAAGTACTCGAGCTGGTGAGATATGCTCTCCTATTCAGAAGGCTCAGACCTGACATGCCTCAACGCAGCTCCAAATCAAACATTATTTTCTCCAAAAGTTTCAGAATGTATGGCCGATGCGATACATGACCTGCATGTTTCTCAGGAACTCTATTGCTTATTCGAGGAATTGTTCGACCATTGAAATGTCTGGCAGGTGGCGAGGATGTCAATGATAGCAGCGAAGATGAAGACCCTGGTACGGAAGACGAAGATGGAGATGATGATACGGAACGCAAAGATGGGGAGCAAGATGGTCTTGCTGACGAAGTAAGTTATGGTCGTTCTCGTCATACAACCCAGCGATGCTAATGTGATATCCAAGTTTGATGGACATTCAGACGCACCTGCAGTCATGGCAAACAACGCTCCCACCAATGTCAGTCGCAACGCGGTCGGTCACACAAAGACAGGTACTCAGGTGAGCTTCCAAGCAGTTTTCATACCATCGTCGCTCAGTTATCCCTGATCACCTGACTCAGCGGGCCCGTCCTGGATAGTAACTCCATTTGCGAATCTGTTGCCATTGGTTGACCGCATCCGGTTTCGGACCCAGGGGCTCATCTATCATCGCGGAAGAGATCATCAACGACCAAGATCTTCCAGTTCAGGCTGTGTTTCCGGGCAACATGGACTTCTCGCGTTACCTGCATCTATGCATTGTTCCTTTTGTTGCCTGCCTGCTGATCGAAGATGACCTCGGGTGCATTGGATAGAAGGCTATCTCAATCATGCATGCAGCGCGGATGCTGGCGAAGTTCTACAGTTACTCAGTGATGTTCCTGATCTCATCGCTATCCGAGATGATGCAACAAGAGCGAACCTTCATGATCATGAAGATGTCCACGATGATCATGACGACAGCGAGCACAACTGCGATCACGAAGACGATGGCGGACACAGTCCGGAACATGGTCATTAGCGACTCCGACCGCTTCAAGCTGCAGTCAAGAGTTCAACGGCCGAATGCGACCGTGCGTACTGATTTATTGGCTACTGTTGCTAACACGTCCTTGACAATTCCAAAGAATACCTACAGCACCAAGGTAAGCACTGCTCTTCATCCGAGTCGTGTGCTTACATATGAACTTGAACTTGAAGATCGCCGGCATATCCGTCCTGCTTCCGTGTCCTACCCTTCCGCTGGTGTCAACCAGCAGCTTATGGTACCAGCGCAGCAAGCTGGCCTCAGTCATCGGTCACCCCCTCTGTCGCAACCATCCAAGGCCAAGAGTCGCACGTTGAATTCTCGCATGGACACAAACAAGGTAGGCTTGGATCACACATCCCCAACTAATACCATGCTCGGCTGCCCTGCAGGACCGCACCATTTTCTTGACGCTCGAACTTTCACTGGTATAAACAAGTCTTTCAGTCTACTTATTAACACTTGCACGGACGCTCCCATTCACAAACACTTACATGCTCGAACGTAAAGTTATTGTTGGATTCCATCAAGATTCATTGATCTGCTATGTAGCAACACTGCCCGGAAGTGGACTGATCACATAACACCAGCCGTTGTCCGCCATCTCAGACTTCGTTCCATCAATAACGTTAGACCCACTCTACATGTCCCATGGGCTACATGCAACGAAATCTGAGATGTACACACGAATCATAACATTTTGACTATGGGTGTCACCCGATCAACTCAAGCAGAATTCAGGAATATTGGTCAAATCACTTGCGTGTGTATAGGATATATACAGGTATGTCATAAGAGGATTGGAGATGGGTAACCGTGCTACACCGATATGCAAGGAATATAACAGCAGGCTGGTATTGCACCACGTCAGTTCGTCTTTATCAAGACATCATAATGACCAGGGCTACCAAATATCAGCTTGCGATGATTAAAAGTCAGTCGTCGACATACCGATAGATGAGAATCAACGGTTTATTCTTTGGGTCATCTGGCGGTGTGATGTCTTGGAAGTGAGCTTGACCATCTGGGGAATGGCCATCAAGATATGCGATCCTGATGTGCAGTTTGAGAGCCCGACACAAGGCCGCCACCTGAACATGGTCTATTGAACAACATCAGCTTGGATAGGTCAATGCAACTGCAACTCAGTATATTGACCTGCTTCTTTCCCGAGGGGATCGACGTAATGCCGACAAAATTCGCTGGGTAGCAACGGGTCCCCTGAATCATGGAAGAGAAAGCCAGCATAATCATCGCTCGCGGACTGAATTTGGGCCGATGTCAGATATCGCAAGTACGTTATAATATAGTTAGACACTACGACGGGTCAGATGCAGGCAGGCAGGTCATACGCGAGAACCTTACTTTCTTCTTCCATCAAAGCAGATAATAGACGGTCGTGTGTCAGCACTTGGTTAGGATCGGGGCTTCCAACGGCATCTACTAGATCCATGAGGGGTTCGCAGAAGGTCGAAATAATATCCGCGTCCATGGAATTATGTTCCATCATTCTGGAACCTGATTCTATTACAAATCTCGCAGCAGGGACGAGGTTGGGAGAATCAATGAGGCTACTGAGATACGCGTATGCCAAAGCTGATATTATGAACACATGAGTATGCGGAAGGCGGAAGCCGTGGATTAACCTTACCTCGGTAGAAGCAATTGCCATCACCTGGTTTAAACGTTCGCATCAGGTTATGCGAGTACCTATCTTCATTTATATACTACCTTTAGTACGGATAATCTTTGTGTAACCTTGCCGCATCAAGCTGTCGATCTGCGCCACAAAAGATGGGGCACCAGTATATTCTCCCCGGAGCTCATACATTGACGTCGGTGGAGCTATCAGAGGCTGATTTGGATCCATGCTCTCCTCCAATAATTTCTAAGAAGGGAGTTGTATCAATTATGTAGCAAGATCGGGGCATCGGCGCGCAACCAACCTGGCCCAATTCATAGAACTGAGATCTATGCGCCCCATCATAGATATCTGCCAGAGAACTGTCACGTCGTGCTGCTGATCAGCCGCACTACTCACCTAACTCTTCTGGTATTTGGGCGCCACCTAAGAACGGGGCTTCAGCTTCATGGAGGTCAGTATTCCGTAGCCTCGCTGAAGACAATAGCACATGTGTTGTGAACATTGTATTCGTTTTACAGTGCAGAGTGACTAACTCACGAGAGCTGGGCGATGTCACACTTGAAACTTTGTCGTTCATGTGGTGCTGCTAGATGTACGATACTACGTGAATGTCGTAAGTTGTGTGTGCCGTGATGTTGCTAATCAGCGACCAGTCAACTTTGTTTATCAAAGCCTTTCGTTTTCAACAACGCCAAACATGTGCAAACTCAGGCCTGTCAAGAATGGCGTCCGTTTGAAAAGAGTGTGAATATTTGGGATACAAGCACTACCGATATATGGGTGTGGTGTACTGAGACATAAATACAATACCAGTGAGCCTTATCCTCCGAATTCTCAGTCCTATTCCTCCTCCACTTCAGCCACCGTGCCAAGCGCGGTCATAACGCGAGCTTGGGCTTGAGGTGGAAGCATCGCGGAAAGTGATTGCGTGCGGGAAAGCGAAGCACCTCGTGTTGGGAGACGCTTTATGGGGCGTGAAGCTGACGTCGGTAGCGCAGATAAAGATTGCGATACTCCTAGAGGACGCGTCGTCGACGCTCGTAGGTTTTCTATAACCAAAGACGAGTTCCGTGTGAGTTTTGCGGTCATGATTGGCGACTGAGAGACGTCATTGGGAGTGGGACCAGTAGCCATGCATCCCTGGGCAACTATTTCCAGAGCTGTGGCTGGAATATCTTCAGTCAGCCACGAGTCTAGTGCTTTGAACTCGGGGCATGATTCCCATATATCATAAATCCACTTCGTGTCGGAGAGAAAGAAGGATGTTCGGGCCTCATCCTCGCGCTCTTGAATCTTCGACTTCAGTATTTCAAGTTCAGCTGAAATGGCGACATCATGAGACAGTGCACGCATCACCAATCATGGACTGGATACGTACAGTGGATGTCATTTAAACATTGCGGAGACGCAAGAGCTCGATCAATAAATCCAAGCAAGTACTTTCGGACGAACGAATGCGTTGGGAGTTCGGAAAGTGGGTCGCTGAGCTGCTGGATTGTCAGCGAGATGCTCACGAAGTTGTCAAAGATTGCGTGGGCCAGCTACAGCACGGAGTCAACGTCTAATTCTTATTAGCAAGCCATAATAATACCATACCTCCAACGTATCTAAGACCTGTGATTTTTTTTTCGTAAGCCAGAGCGTAAAATGACATGAGAAGGACCATACCAACTTGCGATCCCCCGCGGTAAGCATCGCCAGGTCAAGCACAGGAACCAGCCTGTCGCAAGTGGCAAGATAGGTTTTGATGTTTGGCATCAAGAACTCGGCAAAGAAACCACCGCAGATGTCATTTATTTCGTCGGTAATGAAGGTTCTGGTAGGCTCAGTTTGCGTCAAGCACTCGTTTGATTCGGCGGGAGGGGGTAGATTCCGAAGCTCTTCCAGAAGAGCATCGACGTCGATGAATACATCTGAAGTTGAAATGTGTGTTCTGAGAAAATGTGTTCTGACATAGTGAGAATAGTAGGTCAAACGATACAACGCTGAAGGAAGACTATGGGAGTTCTGTGTGTTAGAACTTCTGTTGCCCATCGCGAGCATTTTATACCTCTGTTACTAGTGGCAGAACGTCGCGCGAAGGCTATCGTTTTTGCTTGAAACGTCCCTGTGGATGTTCAATGGAACGGGAACGTGCAAAACTGACAGTGGATTTGAGGGTACTGCCCAAGGTGGGGCCATTGGTCATTATCGACCGCGGAAGCATAGTAATGCTTTGGTAAAGTCCACCACCTCCACATGCCAGTGTTCACATGAGATGCGGTAGGTAACCATGGTCTGTGGAGTCTGAGATAGCTGAAGGCAAGCCACTGGACTTGGTCAGCGGCGAAGGTCTAGGCAGGACTCCCGGGAAGTAACCGTCTCTATTGTCCACCTTAAGAAGACCACATTCACATTACACTGGATCTGAAGGCTACGCTTGGCATAGCGGTGATTCAGTATTACTGGCCACATCCTCCATATGAACTAAAACATGCCAGTGTCGTCATTCTAATTTCCGAAACGCCGCTATTGTCTTGTTGCAACTTCATCGTTCAACCACTTTTCGCCAGATGCGCAGCGTATTGCGCCGGGGTAAAAGATTTCTGGAAAAAGTCGATCAATCAAAGTACCGTTTCGACCACGAAGAAGGCCCAGAGCTCACCTGAGAAAACGCGTGCAGCTGTGATATTTCTTGCTTCAGTGCCTGGTTGACTGTCAGACGATGAGCATCCCCGTATCATAATGAAAGTCACGCCGAGACTTACTTAATCTATGCCTCGCAAGAGTACTCTTGCCCTCAAAGACCTATGTAATATTTCCGTTTCACCTTGACTATGAGTAGCTACAGTGCAAACGAATACATACCTCACTAACCAGGAGAATTGCATAGCTGGATCCACATCCACTTGATTGATCCTCAATGTCGAGATGGGACACAGGGAATGCAGCTCGAATGGCCCGGTCTAAATCCTCGACTGTCACAGGCATGTAAAGAGTCACTAGTCACTGGTCGTCAGAAAAGCGGAAGCAACTTTGCGTTTGGATCTGATAAGATATCGTGCGACGTAGTCTGTTTATTTATATTCCAGGGTCAGCTGCAACAGGCTGGAACCCCTAGATAAGAATTGCTTCCGAACTCTCCATATCGTCATACATTGCACATCATCATCTATGGGTCCGATGTACAGAGAACTAGCAAAGACCGCCTTCGGGTACCCCATCATCGACAACCATGCCCACCCATTCTTGAAATCAGAGCACCGCGACGCCATCCGATACGAAGTACTCATATCTGAGGCCCACGGCGATGCTTTGGACGATGCTGTCCACACTCTTGCTTGCTTGCGTGCAACAGCTCAGTTATCCAAGCTCCTCGGTAGCGATCCTACCTGGGAAGGTGTCAATAAAAAGAGACTCGAGTTGGATTATGCAGAGTTGTGTAAACTCTGCATGGAGCCCACGGGAATTCAGTGCATATTGTTCGACGATGGCCTGGGTGGAATCGCAGAAATGGCTGAAGATTTGAATTGGCACGACCAGTACACTAAAAGTCCATCGAAGCGGATTGTGAGATTAGAAGTGGAGGGCCAGGTAAGGGATCGTCGTCCCTATCTTTGAGAAAAGCTCAGTTGGGATGTTTAGAACATCTTACAAAACATCCTCATCGCAAATGATAACTCTCCTCTTTCCATGGGTATCCTCTGCGACACATTCCTGAAGGATTTTACCGCCTGTATGAACGACGCTGCCAAAGATGAGCTTGTGGTAGGGTACAAATCTGTCGCTTGCTACAGGTAAGTAGCTATATCATGGCCTGGATAAATGATCAGATCGACTCACTTATCCGATAGAACCGGTCTGGACGTCGACCCTGCACCCTGCAGCGCGGATGAACTTTACCAGTGCCTAACAGCTGCATCCGAGGAGTTCAAGGAGAAAGGTTCCATTCGCTTCCAGCACAAAGCCTTGAACGATCACCTAGTCAAAATAGTCCTCGATATCGCAGGGAAATGCAAGAAACCTAGTAAGAATTTGTTCCGCTCCGCGGCGCCTCCATACTCACGTCTTCCAAAAGTCCAGTTCCACACTGGTGCGTTGCAAAACAGTAGTCCAAGCCGCCTTGCATGATACTTATCCGCTTCAAGGTCTGGGAGACAATGACATTGCGTTGACAAAGTCTTCTCCGGCGCATATGCAGCCCATTATCAAGGCCTTCCCAGAAACGATATTCGTTCTCTTGCATTCCAGCTACCCTTACACGAGAGACGCTGGCTATCTCACATCCGTATACAAGAACGTTTATCTCGACTTCGGAGAGATTTTCCCCTTTATCTCCGCTGACGGCCAACGCACCGTCATACGTGAAGTGCTTGAGTTGGCGCCTACCAACAAGATCTTGTGGTCCAGTTCGTCAGCAGTCCATCTGTCACGGAACAAATTACTCACCTTTCCACAGCTGATGCGGCGTGGTGGCCCGAAAGGTTCTATCCTCGCCACTACCCAAGCTCGCGAGGCGATGTACGAGGTAAATTAGATCATTCCTTGCGCATAGATCCTCTAGATGTGAAATTTGATTCTTCAGGTATTGGCGGACTTCGTCGGTAGACAAGACCTCACGGAAGACCAGGCAGTGTCTATCGTGAAGATGGCATTTTTTGAAAATGCGAATCGTATCTATATGCTAGGGCTTCAGCCGAACGTTGGTATTTTGTCTCCCCAGTCGTAGTCGGCATTACAATGAACAGTCTCAGTCACTCTGACAACTTCGCGGAGTATGAAATAAACTGCAAAAACATGCCCACAAATCAATAACAGGTCAGTTTGGGTTGCATGAATGTTGACGCAAATAAACGGTGTAAATAAAGTTCGAGTAATAGTAGTTGTCTCCCTATCCATTGTTACTTGCCCGAGAAGACAGAATATTCCAATGAAGTGAGATGTTGAGACGATGATAGCAGGTAGTGTACAGTTGACCAGTAAGAAATCAGAATGCCGAAGTCGTGGGAGTCTGTGACCCATAATTACCATGACATAACATCATATCGACCTTCAAGCTGATATAAACACCCAACAGCCAGCTAACACTTGAGTGGATATACACCAGGTATACGTTCTTGCATGGCAAGATCCTACTTGATGACAGCCCAATCGTTTCTGAACAACGTGCTGCAAGACTTCATGCATGTTACTGGCCGCTATTCGGTTCTAACTTCTCTGGTTGTGCAACCAATGGTATCGGGCCCTGGTGTGCTCTTTCAACCTAAGATGAGCGCTTAACTTGTTCTTCAACTGCAATCTGTCACATCCAACGAGCTTTCTACATAAGCAACTCTCGTGCCTTGTATTTCTATCACACCACAACGGATCTTCTTCTTCAAGTCTTGCTACCTAGCTTAGCACCGTCGCACAGACCTATCGACAGCCTGACGCCAAAAGATCGTGTCACGACTTTAAGCTTTACTTCGACCCCAAACGTCCAAGTGACAGCTTAGACTTTATTGATCATTCGTATGTCGCCACTCGAGATAACCATCGCCCCTATGATGTTTAACCACGTTGTTGAAATAGTACTTCCCGGGAAGTGTTGCAATCCTTTTCGCGGTTTACCGTTGATCAATGTCAGTATTTCCATCTTCTGCTCTCTCTCCTGCTCTCTGACCTCGTCGACAGTTCGTGATGATCATGAAGGAACGTGGCAGAAGTTGTTACATGTCGCTGTCATGAGTGCTGAGTACGACTCCCGCGAACGCCAGCCTCATCCAAAATTTTTGAAGGGGACGCGGGTGGGCCTCCTCAACTACATCTACGGGTTATTAGACAACCAAGAAAAGAGTCGACTCATCTGACTGCATGGCACGACGGGCGTGGGAAAGTCTGCCGTCGCATTAAAGGATGAGACGACTGAAAATGACAGGAGACGACAGTAGAAATGCGACTCGGGGGACATTCTTTTTCTCGCGCAAGCACACGAAACGCTGCACGACTGGTTATTTCTTTGCGACACTCGCCTACCAACTCGCCACCAATTTTCCCAGCGCCCGGAAGGACGTGAACAGGGCTATCCTGGAGAATCCTGCGCTTCTAGACCCCGACAAGTTTATTCGCGACCAGATGGAGGCGTTATTTCTGCGACCTCTCCGGAAGCTTCAATCGAGGCTGCGCGAATGTCCGCCTTTGACGTTCGTTATTGACGCCTTCGATGAATGCACTCAGAAAGCAAGCTCGCTGATCTCATCTCCCTGCTCGACCATGCTCTTTGTCAACCAGATCTGCCCATTACCCACATTCTTCTCACGAGTCGCTCAGAATCACATATCTTTAAAGCTATTCAGAAGGAAGACGTACGCCCGTTGGTGTGCGAGATACCAGTAAAAACGTCTGGGGAGGGTGTCGCTGATATCATCTCGTTAGATGGTGTAGATGTTGACAAGGGTATCTACATCTTTCTGCAACATTCCTTCAGAGAGCTGCAAAATCGCCATTCCAATCCCGCAGCCAACGCAGGACCAACTGGGGCGAGCCGAGCAGGCAGACGTTTCATCGTGGCGTCTACGATGATGAAGTTTATCGATGACGGATTCAATGATCCCCGCAATCGGCTTCAGCTCATGCTCGAGCTAACGAGCGAAATGCTGCCAGGAACGGAGGTGTACAAGTTATACGACCGTATCCTCTCCACATGTGCAGATCCTGCGCGGGCATACCAGCACTTATCCGTTGTTGCTGCGCTGGCGGATCCTCTGCCAATCTCACAAATCTCGGAGCTTCTTGGTCCTGGTCAGGGCAGGGACGTCAAGACAGTACTGGTGCAGCTACGGTCTGTTGTCAATATTCCTGCTGATAGCACTCTCCCGGTGACTACCTATCACCTATCTGTTCGTGACTACGTGTCCAACCCCTCAAACTGCAGCATCCCTGATGTACAATATATAATGCCTCCCCACTCCCTACTCGCACATGCCTCTTTAGGCTTGATTATGCAAGACGTTCCAAAAACTGTATTTCCAGTAGTTTTCATGACGCAGCACCTGACCTGCGCAAATAGAATCATCTCCAAGCCATAACCACCCCAGCGAAGAGTCTGAACTTGTTGTTTTTTGCATACTGTCTTATTGAACTACTATCTCTTTTTTCATTCCGATGTCATATCACAGAAGATGACGAATTATTAGGCCGGTCATTGCATGATGAATTGCTGCAACAGCTCATCTAAGTTCTTGAAATATTTAAGAGTGAGATCATCGAGAATCGGAAACCTCTGGTTCCAATTTTATGTAGATCGATCGATCGTCATCTTGTCAATCCTATGCACGAGATACCTGCAGGAGTAGTTGCCGCAGCAAAGCATGACATATATCCGGAGCCAATGAGTAAGGCACACACTACGTTTCACATGGTTAGTACTCTTTCCCTGTGAACACCAACATCATGCCTCCATCCTCAGAACAAAGCTTCAGAGCCAATCTCTCCCAATTCCGCTGGGCCAGAGGCGTCACAGATGACTCTCAACAAACCCAACAACCACTTCAATCCTCAAACCCATTCTCGCGCTTCTACAACGCCGTAGCAGGCGACTACATCCCTCTCAGATCCAATGAACGCTCGAACGAAGACGAAGCATGGTTTGCACTATCACGTTGGGAGAGGTACGCGTTCAAATGTCACTCCTACCAGTCTTCTCAACATACACCTATTCTCTAGGCTGCTCGGGTTCGGTGCTTGCTTGTTGGGCGCAGCAGTCTGCTTCTTCGTCGCATTCATGACCCTTCCTTTCCTCGCCATCAATCCAGCGAAGTTTGCTTTGGCGTTTAGGTATGCATAGGTCCTCGTTATTCACATTCCGGTCGATAACTCCCTCGCAGCCTGGGGAGCTTGCTCGTGATGTTCAGGGTATGTCCCACCACCACATTTCATTCCAACCGGTGATAGCTGACCGCACCACTATATTCAAGGTTCTCAGTCCTCATCGGGCCAATAAACCACGCAAAACATCTGGTTTCAAAAGAGCGACTACCATTCACCCTCGTCTACTTCTCAAGCTTGGGCTTGACCCTCTATTTCTCCATCAGCGTAAGTCCGCAATCCTTCATCACCACAGAGCTCAATCTAACACCCTATCTTAGGTCCACTCGTACTTGGGTTCGCTATTAGCAGGTGTCGTCCAGGTAGTATCTCTGGTAGCGTATGTCTTGGCGTACTTCCCAGGAGGTACGCAGACTTTGCGCTTTGGTGGACAAGTCGCACTTCGAGGAGCAGGAAGCCTACTACCTTTCTAGCACCAACGACAAAAACCCATAACACGACTTGTATCCTCACACACGATATCTGACTACTTGCACGTTATCTATTCCGACGACGCCCATCAGTCCATAGTGAACGCAGCGCGATAATTTTGACAACGACAAACAATTACGAAATATCTCCAGAGCCTCGTGAAACCCAACCGTATCCCTCAACCTCTGTGACATGATCTCAATATATCCCTGGTATGACTCACTGCCACTCAGTTCCCAGCGTATCCACCGTCTGACAGGAACATCACCGTCACCAAAAGCCACGCGAACACAAGCGAAGGAACTTACCAAATCAAGATCAATGTTGATGGCCTCGCCAGCGCACCAATCAATCTTTTGCCCGCGTCCGCCTTGAACGAATCAGAGTCTGGAGGCGGAAGGGGCCTGAAAGTGCTCTTCATGTTCATGGCTGGCGCCGAGGTAGTGCTGCTCCACATGTCACGCTCCACATAGCTCCCAGATGGCGCCACAGCAACAGTAACGCCATCTCAGCAGTACCTGCGCATACACTCGTCAATATCACCCGGTAATGACAATTCGAGACCAATTCTCACCAAGCATGTTTTTGACCTCATCCTGAGCCTCGTTCCTGAGCCACTCGTACTCTGAATATCAACGACCTCTTCTGCGCGATATCTAGATCTTGCAGGAAAGCAGGATCAGACACGCCGAAGGTCTGCGCGAATGAAATCTGCAAACCCAGCCGCTTCAAAAAGGAGTGTAGGCGTACCTCTTGGATGATATTGTCAACTCGAATACGATCACGTGACGTTAGTTCAGTTGACAAGTCAGCTATTTGTTTCAACGTCTCTGTAAGATCGTCGCACAGTCCATTCAGAACCTCGATGGCATCGCCGACCGTTGGTATAGTGGCTACAACGAATCATGTAAGCTTCTGAGGGATGGCACAGAGAGGACAACTACATACCTACGAAACGAGACAATCATGACCACAGGAGAAAGCACCACCGTGATCTCAGGCTCTATAGAAAAAACCAACAAGCACTTAAGCCGAACATCTACTAACTTACCAGTAAATTCACTAGTAGTTCCCAGGTACTACACGATAGCCTTGAGAAACAACCGCTATCAAATTGAGTGGTCGATCCATGCCCGGGTGCAAAGATGCTAGCTAGCGGGACCTCTGCGTCCATCTGAGGTTCACCGCTTGATTCCAGCTTCTATTTCCAAGGCACCTCGCCGCAAGCCTAACACAGCCCCGTGGATACCACCAAAACCAGAATTTGTTGACATCTCAAGAACAACTTCGTCAGTACCGAGTAGCGCAGATCATGTAAAGCTCAGATTTTGGAACGAGTGTTAGAATGCTTCTGCTAAGCGACGCCACGAGGTGGATTTCTTAAACGATCGACAAGCCGATCTCTTCAGAATCATTCTTTAGGAGAATGATGATCGTCTCTCGATGGCTGGATAGAAAGTCAAGTGCCTGATGGCGAGCCAAAGTCAGTGCCCACACACAATCCAGTAAAAATCAGTCTTACCCCCGTCGCATGCTGGGCTCCCCGTTGGTAAGGAATTTCATTCATCGTTCGCGACCAAACTGATGATTCATGAAGTCCGAAGATCCTGACGTCTCGCATCCTCTAGCTCAGCACTGCCACAAGTCACCCGAAAGTGCCGTCCGAGTCCTCCCAGGCTGGACCTAGACCTTATGTATCAGGACTGGAGGTAGATACAGATTGCAACGAAATCATGCGCTTACCAGGAAGCATAAACGTATTCATTCCTTGTCAAACACTTGCAGTCTCTATCGCAGCCTCTTTTTCTCCTCAAAGTATGATGATATGATTTCAACGAAGTAAGAATGTTATGCTGCCCTAGCAAGTTAAATGACGTCAGGAAATCCCGCAACGAATCTCCCGGTGACCGACCTTCTAGGTAATGTTCCGGCACGAGTCGTACTAACGAGGGTATGGTGGCGTCCGTCTCGTCTAGGACCTCCGGAAGTACATCATACTTCCTCTGAACTATGTCTGACGCAGTTGCGCGGCTTCTAAATCATATACACTATCTCCTCTGGCGTTTCAGCAACCAGTCGTCTCACTTCGTTCCAGAGTCCTTCTGGACCGCTTGCAAGACGACGGATCACTTATTTGTTAAAGCCACCTATAGCGTAATCTTGTCATCTGGGGTGTGTGGAAGCAAGAAGTAGCTCGTTGTTCGTTTTAACTCTTGAGTCCATAGTCATTGAACACTGCTTCACCAAGAAGCGTTGCAGTATGCGAAATGATAATAACGACCGAGGCATTCCTTTCTTCGGCACTTCCTTCCAGGTACGACGTACACCAAGAAATGGCCCGTCCACGAGAATGGTTGAGGGTATTGACCCCGGATGCAAGGTCGTATAACTCGAGGGCAGAAAGTCGAGATAGCAGCGTGGACGGAATGGAAAGATACGTCGATGGTTTCAGATATTTATCCCTGATCTCAAGTAGTGCACACAGAGAAAGCAGGCAAGGAGACACGTACCAGGTGTACTTTTGAACCTGATCCAGATTATCGGCATAGATGAAGGTTTGACATCGACTCTTCAACATTCCTAACGATCACGGGTAGCACCATAGATATGAGTTCCTCGGAAAGCCTCGAGCTCATACGGTGTGAAATGAACCGGCGTGAGCAGTGCTTCTGGAATCTGCAGGTGGAAGGCTTTGCCACAAGTAAGGAAGATATCGGAGGACATCACAAACTAGGCCCCAATTGTATGTATGATCGTCAAATGCGCACGCAAGACAGACAATAGGGACGTTCAAAGTTGGGCGCCTACGCCCACCGCCTACGCCCACGACCCCCCTCGCCCATATACCACTACCCATTTTGTACTTGAACGAATGTATTATATAATCAATGATAACTTAACACTACCGAAACCACATTACACTCAATGGCACGTCTCCGAACATCACGCGAGCAATACCTTCACTCGTATCTCTTGCTTATGATTCTTCGCACTTTGTGTCAGCCAGATATGACCCTCGAAGAGGCAGCAGCACAGCAGCATTGCGACTTATCTTGCATTCTTGCTATTCAACAAACTCGTTATCTTCAAGAGCGCTCCCCTGTTGCAAAAGCCAGCACCCTGCACCTTGCTTGGGAATACACAAAATCACCATCTGATCATAATTGCTTTATTCACATGCTCCGTGTTTCTCCAATGACATTTCAAGTCCTGCTCGATCTGATTGAAGGTCATCCGGTTTTTTCCAATAATTCCAACAATGCACAGGTGCCTGTTCAGACTCAGCTTGCTGTCACTCTCTATCGAATGGGTAGATACGGAAATGGTGCCTCAGTACTGGACATTGCTCGCCTTGCAGGAATTTCTGAGGGCGCAGTAGAGTTGTTCACGCAATGATGCTTCCATGCAATTCAATCTTTGCATGACACTTTTGTATGCTTACCAACTGCTGAAGAAAAGGAGGTTGAGAAATCATGGATAGATGACCGGCTCAAATTCCAAGGAACTTGGAGGGAAGGTTGGGTTATGTATGACGGGACAATTGTTGTTCTGCATACTAAGCCAGGTCTCAACGGAGATGCATATTACACACAAAAGTCAAACTATGGACTGAATCTACAGGTACTATATCACACAGTTTTTTTAAACAATATTGAAGTGCTTTAACAGGTTGGAAATTTGCCATCCAATCTTCATATTGTGGACTATGCGCATGGCCTGACTGGTTCTGCCCATGATGCCTCTGCCTTTGAGCATACTGCAGCTTCAAAACATGCAGATTGGTTTTTTAAAGGCAATGAGTTTGCCTGGGTAGACTCTGCATATCTGGTCAGTAGTCATACCATTCCAGTCCACAAGCGTCCTGCTTCTCTCATTCCCAAGAATGCTCTATTTGATAGTGCAGTGGCCCATCTCTGAGTACGTTCTGAGCATTGCATGGGAGCTCTGAAAGGGTGCTGGCAATGCTTGTGGGGGCTTCAGGTGACCATCACATCAAAGCGCCATCATCGGGCAGCATGCAACTGGATTACAGTGGCCATTATCCTGCATATCCTTGTGATAGATGTTGAAGGAGGAGTACAAGGGGCACACTTTGCTGGGATCCACACTTGCACTGATGAACACAAAGATAGAGGATTGCCTGATATTTTTCCAAGTCAAGTGATTGGGAATAATGGAGAATTGAAGCGACAAAAGCTTGTAGAAGAGTTGATGGCATTTCGACAAATGTAACAGAAGTATTTGATGAACTACTATTAACAAGTGTATATAATAGAAAGGTGTTACAAAGTGACTAGAAGTTGACCATAAAGCAGAAAAAAAATTATCAAGAGGTGAAGGCAGAAATTATACCGAGACTCATCAAAGAAATACCCTAATCAAAATCTGGCCAATCTGGAGAGTAACGAGCACGCTTCACAGGCTCAGCCTTGTCATGCATCAGTTCACGGAGCTTTTCATGATACTCGTCAACATCCCAAATTCTGGCCTCAAACTCTTTGAGCAGCAGTTGGCGCTCTTGAAGCTTCCTCTCTGCTGTAGCACGAGCATTGATAGCATCTAAACTGGCCCTTTGCATATATAAGTGTAAGGTCAATTGAAATATAAATAAAAAAATGTACTTCTGCATGTTAATGAGTGTCTCGTCAAGGGTCCGCTTCTTCGGCACCTTGGAGATCCGTTGTCTCGCTTTGGTGAGACTATCTTGTAACATTGATGAAGATTTCAGAGCTCGCTTAGTTGTTGGGGTAGGGGTTGACTGCGAGGATGGAGGAGGATCATTCTCCTTGTCATTGACATCATAAAGAGGTTGAGAAAAGTCAGAAGGATCTATGATATTATTGAAAGGAGACTCAAAAGATGGCGAGATTCCATGCTGTGCTGCCTCGTTCTGAAGGGCTGTGTGGAGGCTCTGGATCTGTGAAAAATTCTCCGATGCAAGTTCTGGTCCTTCGTCATCACTCGGAGGCTGGTAGTGCACAGTCTTCCTGCCATGTGGGCCAACACCAGTAGTGATGGCTATCAGAGTGACATTTGGACAGGAGGATAAGATTTGATGGAGGACAGGAAAGAATTTGAACTGCTCAACAATCTCGTCTGCATGATGTTAGAATTATTCTGATGGAAAGTAAGTAACATACCCCAAATACATTGTGCTTTTGGAGTTGTGGTTGTGTTGGGTCCATCAGCGGGGACATAGCATTCGAAAAATTCATTGTCGGAGACATTGCTGTTCACGTCAGATTGGATCCCTTCACCAGTTTTTCGGAGACGTCGAGCATGCACCTTGTATTTTTTCGTTAAGCTGAGCAGAATTGTAAGCTGGAAAATAGTGAAAAAAGCGCAACACTCACTACTCGTACTTTCATTTGACTTGGTCCCCCATTGCAACAGCATTCTGGCTGTGCAATTGTGGGAAAACGGCAGCTGCCATGCGCTGATATACCATCACTTTGCTATCTCCTGACGTGTTCTGGCACAGAAACATCATATCTTGTATCACATATGACAACTTTGACTCACTGACCTCGCCCTTCTTCCGTTTGCCTAGAAGCATGACTCTGTTCTCCGAAAGTTCAATCTGCACCAATAGCTGCCAGACCAAGTCGTCGGTCCAGACAATCTCCGGGATTGTGACACCGTTATCCTTCTTCTTCGCCATATGCGCAGATCTGATTGATGGTGAGTAGAAGGTAACAAACAATACTTTTTTACAATTACTTTGTATTATCTAATTATGCAAACTACGTTTTAGGTGATGACACCATGGGCGTAGGCGGTGGGCGTGGGCACCCAACTTTGAATGTCCCTAATGTCGCCTTGAATCAGGTGGAAGCTCATGGAGTCATGTACGCGCAAATAAGCTGTCTTTCTGACCACGGCTGCAGTTCAACAAGAGTCAATTCCCCCAAAAGTACAATTAGTGTGTACGGGGCACGCTCTATGTGGATGACCAGCGAGAATGGACAGAACACGATCATCGCGTTGGCATTGATAGTATTGTGCGATGACAGACAGTGCAAATTTGCCTGCCAATGAAAGTAAATGGTGAAAAGGTCTACAAGTTAGGCCCAGCTCGGCAACTGAGTCCAGTTCAATTTTCGCTGGTCACCCGCCAAAATCACATCAGATCGACCCAACACATTTTTTCCATCAAAACGTCTAATTTAACTCAACCAGTGTGTGTGCTCAACAAAAAAGTTTGATTTTGATGGGTTAGATCAATCTATGGGTATCTACTTGTAGCACTAATACAGGTTGTTGTCTCTGGCAATCCAATTCTTCCATCTCATCCCTCCCTTTCTGACTGATTCAGATGTCACCCGAAAACAAACAATCTCAGGCTGGCCCTATTGCTGAGTCCACTGCTGTGACTGACAAAGGCACGAAGACCAAACCGAAAGCACCGAGTGCGAGCACAAAGACAGTTTGGAAGTCCAGTGACAATGCTGTGTTGATAGCAACACTTCTGAAGGAACGGGAGGGTCATCAATCTGACTCAGGATTCAAACCGAAGTCATTCATTGCTTGCGCGGAAGCACTCAAAGGGAGTGAGAAGACAAGTGGAGATGTTGCGAAGACATCTGGCTCATGTCATGATCATTGGGGAAAGGTATGTCTTGTATTCTATTTGTGATACATTCTAACTGTGCTCTCAGCTCAAAAAAGACTTCGCTGTTATTAAAAAAAACTCTGGGAACAATCTGGATTTGGCTGGGACAACACTTTGAAGATTGTAACTGCCCCACCAGATGTCTGGGAGAAATATCTCACAGTAAGTGGATCTCATCAGATCTGCATGACTCAGAGGTGCTGACCATAATGCCTCGACAGACACACACAAAAGCAAAAGTCTGGAGGAAGAAATCTTTTCCACTCTATGACAGCATCCAGATTCTTGTCAAGGGGATTATTGCAACTGGCGAAAATGTCTTTTGTGTGGGCATGACTACCACAACCAAAATTGTTGACACCACCCTCCCATTCAACTATCCTGCTGATTCAGGTGAAGAACATGAATTGTTGGATGATGAAAATGATGAGGTATGTTTTTTTTATTTAAATACATGATCTATTGGCTCACGGCTATCTACCAGGATGTCAATGACTTGCAGACACCCATCAAATGGAAATGTTCAGCTGAAATGACACCATTTGGTAGTAGCCGCAAGTGCCAGTCAACTGGCTGTGCCATCCATCGTTCTTCGAGTGGTCGTGGCTCAGGTACTGATGCCATGTTTTCAGTTGCTGGAGCTATTGAGACACTTGCTGATAAATTTGACGAGTCTGGTGGGCTCACTTCTCCAGAATGTTGTAGTGCTGCCATCCACTGTCTCAAAGATGATGCTGAGTTGTCCGAAACTGAGCAGGTGACAGCCGTTTGGTTGTTCTCTCGTCAAACTGCAATTGCAGATTCATACCTCACAATCAAGAAAAAGTCAACTCACACTTGTTACATTCAGTCAGAGTTAGCTGAATTTAGTCTAGGATAGTACACTCTGTGTATTTAAAATGTACTGATAACTATCCCACATAGCTTTGGCAATAGCATCCCTAAGCTTGGAAGCCTGAACTTGTTCTGCAGATGAGATATCACCTCCAAGACCCTTGAACCCATCTATCACTGCCCTGATAATATCACCATGGGGAGTTTCACATGCCTCTGGGAGGTCATTGTTGTCGTAAATACGGATGAAATTGTGTAGTACACAGATAGCAGGGACCATTTTTGCCTGTGCTGTGAGATCATACTCGGGAGAAACCACAGGAAGCCGAAAACACCTTTTGACCACTCCGAAAATTCATTCAATGACATTACGGGCTTGTGCATGACGCAAATTGAAAAGTTCACGATAGTTTTTGGGCCTATACAAGTCATGAGAAAATAATAGCATGATAGCAGAAATGAAATACCGTAAACCAATCCTACCCCACTCGTTTAGATGGTATCATTCTCCATGGTATGGGATCATGAGCCCATTGCAAATTGGAAAGCCTGCATCAGCGAGAAAATATTTACCAGGAGGGATAGTCAGGTTACTTCATTGAGCATCCTCATAGATGTGTCCATCAGCAGCACTGCCCTCCCAACCACTGAGAATATATGTAAACCGCAGATCTTGTGAGCATGCAGCAAGCACATTCTGTGAGAGACAACCTTTTCGGTTGCGGTAACATGCCACGGCATCATCAGGAACAAAAGCATCCAAATGAGTCCCGTCAATTGATCCTTGGCAGTCTTGGAAGAATGGATAAAATTTCAGCTTGTCCTCGATCTCAGGTGCAAGTGGGGTGGTCGCGTCAGGAAGTCGTACATAGGCATTATAGAAAGCATCAGACATGAGGAGGTTGAGAATGCAATGGATGGCTCTGATAAGCAGAAGTCAAATTCTAAACTCGTCAATAATTATTATGGTGGCGCACTTTGTGAGAGTACTTGGACTGCGCTGAAATCATTCTTCAAGATGACGCTGGGGTAGGCCAGTTACAGCAAGATACAGGAATATTCCAAGCTGCTCTTCAGCCGAAACATGTCTTGTGTCATGAAGGCCATGTTTGATTAGCTCATGGAGAAGGGCCTGGAATACATGTTTATTCATTCCCATTGCATCGTAAAAATGCTGAGGATGGCCAGCCAGAAGCTCATTCAACCATTGTTGGCCAGTGAGCTTGGAAGTATTTTTGGGAGTTTTGTCGTAGCGGGCAGCATAATGATGTTGAGTAATGGAAGCAGCAGCGAGTGCAATAGTGATGACAGCTGCCTGTTTTTTCTTCATTTTCAAGCATGCAAAGTGCTTTCAAGTAATGTTGATTGCCATCAGCAAGTACAGTAGGGTACACTAGAAACAAACTCACTGCCCAGTTTGGGCCATTTCGCTGGTCTAATTTAGCCAACCATCAATTGAACCTGACCAGCGAAAATTGAACTGGATTCAGTTGCTGAGCTGGGCCTTAGTGATCAAGACAAACGGACGAGCAGATGGAAGGGGTGCTTTTTGCATGCTCTACCGAGCACACAACGATAGCGAGTGCTCAAGCAAATCGGACAGCGTGTGGAGCTCATGTGGAGCACAGACAGGAGAGTCATGCGAATTGGTTCCATGGGATCAAACATTTTGTCCTTACATATATTAGATATTATTGCCAAGACTGAGTACTGAGGCCTGAGGCCCAGTAGAAGTCCACTGTTTTGAAAATGGCTGAGGTTGCATGAAATCGTCTAAACTAAGCAACACAATCTCGACAGAAAAATAAGACTAATAGCACATGTGCAAATGTGCGTGATTGTACGTGATTGTCTCAGATTGTTTAGATGCAATATTTGCATGTCACCTAGATTGTGCCAGATCTGCTCGTATTGCCTGGCTGCAATGCTCATTATGTCGTCCTGGATTGTGCTAGATCTGCTGATATTGTGTAGTATACATTACAGGTAGACAGATATAATAAAACTTGGCACATCCCGCCACCGTCTGTTACAGCCCGCACTTGTTCTAGCCTGCGCTCCATTCATATGCAGCTGTGCTTTGTCCGATCCCGAAAGGCAGTGAGATCACAAGAAGTTGGAGGGAGTGTGCTGTCACTGACAGTGATCCTCATGAGGATGATCAAGATAATGCAGAGGCAGTGAGGTCGCAAGAAGTCAGAAGGAGAGTGGTGTTGCTATACTTTCTGGGCGGCGAGCTTGTCATATGACTGATTAAATATGTTAGTCTGAGACAAGGACAAATGATACAGAAGGCACACTTTTTCTGTGCTTCTGACAGTCCATCGTAGTAGGTCTTGAACTCAGCTGCTGATCCGGTGTTAAGACCGTGCTCAGGGGTAAAGCGGAGTCTGAGGGGCTTGGCTTCAGCTCGTATGCTGCACCCCTTACCTGAGTACGTGCCCCTAATTTCAGAATGTAGTCCGACATGAATTCTATGGGTTCCGACAGGACGTCAGAACGGGGGTCCTCTGAAGGAGGACCGATGGACTACTAGGTGAGCACGGGAAAGTCGGGCAGGGGTTGTTCCGCCCAACAGGAGGGAAGCGGGAGAATACTGCGGTCAGAACCAACAGTAGAAGCGGAGCAGAAGGAACTGCTTTGGACAAAGTCCGAAGCAGAGCAGAACAGAGGGGACGGATACGAGAGTGCAGGGTCTAGTTCCGACACATGGGAAGTTGGAGGAGCGGAGGGACGGGGGAGCGGGGGAATGAGGGAATGGGCGAATGGGGGAACATAGGATCAGAGGATCAGAGGATCAGAGGATGGCCAACCTAGGGAGTCAATCCCCTAGGCCAGCTTTAACAGGGGTTGACTAGGATCAGGCCCAAGTCAAAGAACAGAAGAGCAGGGCTTAGAAAAGGTAATATTCAGACTGAGTATCTACAGACAAATGTACATATGTTTATATACTATCAGTGATGAGCATAGCATAGCAGAAGGCTATGTGCTGAGTGTACAGGATTACAATAGGATGACTGAGACATATGAGAATAAGGCTTGGGGAACAGTATGTACGCGATGGATCAGAATCGCTAGGGTATAGGGATTACCGGTGATCCAAAAAGCAGAACTATGATACTAAACGGGGATAGGACCAGTTGAGTGGTTCCTAGTCTAGGAGGGGACCGGTGAGGCAGTCGGACAGACTAATAGTTGGGTGGGACAAGACAAGTGGAACCAAGCAGGTTGGAAAAGCGGAGGGAGTAGGAGTAGGATCAGGCGGACCAATAGGGCGGAGGAGCAGAACCCCAGATAGGGTCAGATGGAAGGGGTATGGTGTCGGAGGACATAGGGGTAGTGTCAGAAAAGCGGAACTGGGTCGGGTGGAGGTAGCAGGGCTAATCTGCTGAGATGCACTTCGTGCATTGTCGGAGAAGGAGGAATGGAGCGGATGGGGAAACAGGGGGTTGGACCAGCAGTAGGGATGCTTATAGGTGGTACTGGGGGTACTCAGATCCGGTATATGACATCTGGTCTTGTTGCAAGTGAGCCATTCACGTGTTGGAGGAGATTGAGTTGGTTATGCAGTTATGTGGTAATACTTACTAGTAATTTGTATCGGATCGGTGGCAATGGTGACTGGTGGGACGGCCCCATCAGATGCATCAGAGGGATCTAGGGAGTGTTCTGGGGTCAGTATAGTAGCCATCTCTACAAGTCACGAGCACAGGACAATTCATAAATGTGAGCCAGGGGGAAAGATAATGCATGAAAGCACCAATCAACAACTCACCAAAGGATGAATATATGCGCATACAGTCACTCAAACATACCCTTGAGCCCTCGCTTTAATCACAGATGGGAGAAAATGTGTCTCTATGAGTCATGAGCACAGAACACGAATAATTGTCGTAAATGTGAACCACCAGTGGGTAAGACAGGTGAAAGCGTGGATCAACAACTCACCAAAGGATGAATATATGTGCATATTAAAGTGAGTTTAGGCGAGCAGGGACGAACAAGGAGCTGGTAAGAATATATACTAAGGGTATGTTAGCTCGTTATAAGTAAACGGAAATAATAATGACTTACATCTCAGTCTCGAGATACTCGACTGAGATGTTCTAACGTGGTACTCAATACTTTATAGTAGTTAGCATAGTGATACGAATAAATGGTAGCATAGGTAATATATTGTTAAGTCTCGGCCGACATCACCTTGTCGCTCGTCACATAGACTGGTTGTGCTCGCAATGTCTCACTCTGACATCTCATTTCCTCCTCCCGGTCCGTGCCTCAAAACATCACCACTCAACACATATATTCACTTAAACATTCCCTCCAGTCCTCAGAATCAGATTCTGAGTGAGAGGGCCTCTAAAATCACCAGAGGGAAAAGAAAGTTATTAGAAGTAGGTGGACCAATGATTGACTGGAGTGAACTTGGGAGATGGTTGGAGTGAAGATGATGGTTGGGGAGAAAGAGGAAAGACAGTTGAGGGAAAAGCTGTGGTTGGGGACTTAGGATTCTCAAATACTCCAAGTCGTCCTAAATCCGCGGACCCGGGACTCGGATAAGCTTCGCCATCGACGTTGTGTAAAATGTATGCAATTTGTTGTGTGCAACATGCAATGTGCAGTGACGACGTTAGAGACATACAACCTCGCACAATCTCAGACTAGTGCACTAACACCGCCAGCCAATCTCAAACAATCTCAGCTTCGTCTCAAAATTTCGCACAATCTCGCACAACCTCAGCCATTCTGGGAACAGTGGACTTCTACTGGGCCTGAGGCCTGAGGACACCCAGTTGGCACTTCAGAATTGCTTCTCCGCGTACTACTAGCTGATGCATAGCCTAATGTTTATGTAGAACGCGCAAGACTTCATGCATGTCTCAGATCTGGCTGTGCAGCTCATTAAATCGTGGTAGCAGCCTCGTGTCTTGCAAACACATAAGCACTCACTGACTCGTCCTTAAGCGCTTAAGCCTCAACAATTCCACCACCATCCAGCAAGCGTTCTTTCCACACCACTCGAACGAATTTCCTTCCATTCTTAAGCAGCTCTCACGCCCTGTAATTTTTACAACTTGATCGTCTTGCCGCCTAGCTCAATACAGTCGTACAGACTTACCGACAGCTTGACAATATCGTGACACGACTTCACAACTTACTACACCCCCAAACGTCCAAGTGATAGGTTGGACTTTGTCGATCCTTTCGTATGTCACCACTCGAGATAACCCGCGCTCCTATGATTTCTAACCACACTCGTCGAAACCACCTAGTACTTCCCGAGTTGTTCTAATCCTTTTCATCATTTATCGTCGGGACCAATGGATCAATGTCAGTATTTCCATCTTCTTCACCCTCTCTCGCTCTCTGATATCATTAATAGCTCGGGGTGATTCTGAAGGAACGTGGCAGGAGCTGTCCAAGGTCGCTGTTATTGGTGCTGAATACGACTCCCGCGAACGTCAGCCCCATCCAAAATGCTTAGAGGGGACGCGGGTGGACCTGCTCAACTACATCTACAAAATATTAGACAACCGAGAGAAGAGTCAACTTATTTGGCTGCATGGCACGGCAGGCGTAGGAAAGTCTGCCGTTGCGTTCACTGTAGCTGAAAAGATGAGAGGTCTGAAAATGACAGAGGAGACGACAGTAGAAATGCGACTCGGGGGGACATTCTTTTTCTCGCGCAAGCATACGAAACGATGCACGACTGGTTATTTCTTTGCAACACTAGCCCACCAACTCGCCATCAATTTTCCCAGCGTCCGGAAGGACGTCAAAAAGGCTATCTTTGAGAATCCTACACTTCTATACGCCGACAAGTCTATTCGCGACCAGATGGAGAGGCTGTTTTCTCCAACCTCTGCGGAAGCTTCAATCCAGACTGCGCCAGTGTCCGCCTTTGACGTTCGTTCTTGACGCCCTCGACGAATGCACATCAGAAAGCGAGCTTGCTGATCTCGTCTCACTGCTCGGTCAAGCTCTCCGTCAACCGGATATACCCGTTACGCACATTCTTCTCACGAGTCGCTCGGAATCGCACATCTCTAAAGCCATGCAGAAGGAAGAGCTACGCCCGATGGTGTGCGAGATACCAGTGCAAACGACTGGGAAGGGCGTCGCTGCCATCATCTCGTTAGATGGTGTAGATGTTGACAAGGATATCTATATGTTTTTGCAACATTCCTTCAGAGAGCTGCAAAGTCGCCATTCCAATTTCCCGCAGCCAACAAAGGCTCAATTCGAGCGGCTGGCGAGCCGAGCGGGCAGACGTTTTATCGTGGCGTCTACTATGTTGAAGTTTATCGATGATGGATACAATGATCCCCGCGATCGGCTTCATCTCATGCTCGAGCTGACAAGCGACCTGCTACCAGGAACAGAGGTGTACAAGTTATATGACCTCATCCTCTCCACATGTGCTGACCCCGGGCGGGCATACCAGCACTTGTCCGTTGTTGCTGCGCTGGCGGACCCTCTGCCAGTCTCACAAATATCGGAGCTTCTTGGCCCTGGTCAGGGCAGGGATCTCGAGGCAGCACTGGTGCAACTACGGTCTGTTGTTAACATTCCTACCGACAGCACTCTCCCCGTGAATACCTATCACTTATCTGTTCGTGACTACGTATCCGATCCGTCAAACTGCAGCCTCCCTGAAGTACAACATATGACCACGGCCCATTCACTGCTCGCACATGCCTCTTTACGCTTGCTTATAGAAGATATCCCAGAAAGGCCGAACCTCTTGGATGCGCTCTCAGACTTCAAGAGGCAGAGCCAAACTATGCAATCCTGGCGCATGCAACGCCGTCCGCCCAAGGACTTAATGCGCTCATTAGCTTTCATTGTCCAGCCCCTGGAGCCACTGCAAATTCTTACAATTCTTCTGTGGCTTCGGGGAGACCGCAGTTCAAATTTGCAAGCCTGGCTATCGACACTGGATGGGCATGCATGGCTGCAAACCCAAGAAGGGAAACACTGGTTGCGGACGCAGGGGGGGGAGGACTGGCAGAAGACAGAGAGCGGACAAAACTGGCAGTGGAAGCTGAGCCCGCCATCGGACAACAGCACGCGACTAGAACCATTCAACGCACGGGACTCCCCGCAGATCCCGAGCTTTCCGGCGACCAAAAACAGCACGGAACTGGACCTCCAGTACACTGAACCGTCTGCGGAACATGCGCTTCCCTGTGGTCAACATTCGGCCTTCGTAAATCCACTCAGGCGAGAGGAGCTGGTAATTCCAACAAGCAGAGAGCCAGAGTGGCCACTGCCGGGCGCACAATGGTGGCTGCGGACTGAGAGCGGGCGTGAGTGGCTGCGGACTAAGAGCGGGCGTGAGTGGCTGCAGACCCCGACAGGGCTGATGTGGCTGCAGACCCTGGACGGGAGAGAGTGGCTGCAGAACGAGGGTGGGGGGGAGTGGCTGCAGACAGAGAGTGGGACAGAGTGGTTGCAGACCGAGGGTGGGACAGAGTGGCTGCAGACCCTGGACGGGAGAGAGTGGCTGCAGAACGAGGGTGGGGGAGAGTGGCTGCAGACCGAGAGTGGGACAGAGTGGCTGCAGACCGAGGGTGGGACAGAGTGGCTGCAGGCCCCGACTGTACAAGAGTGGCTGAAGACCGGGGGTGGGTGCGAGTGGCTGCTGACCCCGACAGGGCAGATGTGGCTGCTGAACCCGACAGGGCAGATGTGGCTGCTGACCCTGAACGGGAGAAAGTGGCTGCAGACCGAGAGTGGGAGAGTGTGGCTGCAGAGCGAGGGCGGGTCAGAGTGGCTACAGACCGACGATGGGACAGAGTGGCTGAAGACCAAGGGCGGGTGCGAGTGGCTGCAGATCGACGATGGGACAGAGTGGCTGACGACCGAGGGCGGGTGCGAGTGGCTGCAGACACCGAGCGGGCGATGGTGGCTACTGACCCAGGGCGGAGGAGAATGGCTACAGACCCCGAATGGGAGAGAGTGGCTGCAGAGTGGGGGCGGGTCAGAGTGGTTGCAGGGCTCAAGCGCGCGACAGTGGCTGAAGACTCTGACTGGGCAAGAATGGCTGCAGACCCCAACCGGGCAGAGGTGGCTACTGACCCTGGGCGGGAGAGAGTGGCTGCTGACCCTGAACGGTGGAGAATGGCTACAGACCCCGAACGGTAGAGAGTGGCTGCAGAGTGAGGGCGGGTCAGAGTGGCTGCAGGACTCGAGCGCGCAACAGTGGCTGAAGACTCCGACTGGGCAAGAATGGCTGCAGACCCAAAGTGGGCGAGGGTGGTTGCTGACGCAGGGTGGGGGAGAGTGGTTGCTGACACAGGGTGGGGGAGAGTGGCTGCTGACCCCGAACGGGGTGGAACGGCTGCAGATCGAGGGTGGGCCAGAGTGGCTGCAGGCCCCGAGTGGGTTGCAGTGGCTGCAGACCTCGGGCGGGCGAGAATGGCTACAGACCCAGAGGGGGCGAGAGTGGCTGCGGACGCCCCATGGTCAATCATGGCAATCAACTCCTGCGGCGTCTGTTTGGGTAACAATGAGAGAGTTCTCGAGCACGTCGGAGGCAGTCAACAGATTCAAAATCATCCGAAAATCGCGCTTGCAGCCAGCTTTTCAAGCAATCCAACAGTTCAAGAGCTTGCCGGATTTCCTGATGTTTCCGGCATTCCTGGCCTTTAGCCACCACCCAGATCATTCAACAAAAGATTGTTTCACACCAGATACGCAAACCATTCACACCATGAAGGCTTTTTCAAGTTTCGCAAGCGGTGCACGGGTACGAATTCTATCAGCTTCAGATGCTCTCAAGTACGCCTGTCAAAATTGGGCCTTTCATCTCTCGCGAGTTGCGAACCCGTGGGACGATACTCTCAACCCCATATTTACGACGTTCTGGAATAATCATCTCCTCTCCTGGCTCGAAAGGCAGTGGTCTTTGAAGGGCCTGCGATCTTGCCTCGTTGTTCTATCCGAAGGGCAGAAACTTGCAAAGGTCTGTATTTCCAGTAGTTTTCATGATGCAGCACCTGACCCGCACATATAGAAACGTCTCCAAGCCACGATCACCCCAGCAAAGAGTCTGAACTTGTTGCTTTTCGCATTCCGTCTTATTTTCAGGCGTTGAACTACATATTATCTCAGCTTTTTTCATTCCGACGTCATTAGGCCGGTGTAGTGGATCATATGAGTCGCTGCAAAAGCCCATCTAAGTCCTTGATTCAGAATATATCATAGATATCTACATGCAAGACAACTCCTGTGACTTCAATATTGACGAGGTCGGAGGAACACCGAGAATCGGAAACCTCCTAAAACCTCTAGTTCCAATCCTCATGTAGATCATTCTGGTGACACGTGAAGCATGATAGAAGCAGTTGCCGCAGCAGGAATCGAAGCATGAACGGCTGTATCCTACCATCCGCACACGTGCACGATAACTATGTAACTACTTCCTCATTATAAGTTATCCTCATGGGCCAATCAGTCCATCCTGAGCGCAGTATTACTGTGCGATAATTTTGAGAACACAACCAATTACAACAACGAAACATCTACTCCAGAGCCTCATGCAACCCAACCGTGTCCCTCAACCTCCGCGACATAATCTCAATATATCCCTGGTATGATTGCCACTCAGTTCCCAGCGTATCCACCGTCTGACAGGACCATCGCCGTCATCAAAAACCACGCGAACACAGAAGCGAAGGAACTTACCAAATCCAGTGTTGATAACCTCGCCAGCGCACCAACTAATCTTTTGCCCGCGTTCGCCTTGAACGAATCAGAATCTGGAGGTGGAAGAAGCCTGAGAGTGCTCTTCATATTCATGGCTGGCGCTGAGGTAGCGCTGCTCGACATGTCACGCTCGACATAGTTCACCAGATGGCGCCACAGCAACAATAGCACCATCTCAGTAGTGCCTGCGCATACACTCGGTTAATATCACCCAACAATGCATTTCGATATCAATTCTCACCGAGCATGTTTTTGACCTCATCCTGAGCCTCGTTCCTGAGCCGCTCATACTCTCTGAATATCAACGATCTCTTCTGCGTAATATCTAGATCTTGCAGGAAAGCGGGATCAGATACGCTGACGATCTGCGAACCAAAAGTTCAAACCCAAACTCTTGATACAGACATGCAGGCAGGCGTACCTCTTGGATATTGTCGACTCGAATATGATCTCTCGAGGACAATTCAGCAGACAAGTCAGCTATTTGTTTCAACGTCTCTGAAAGATCGTCGCACAGTCCATTCAGCGTCTCGATGGCATCGCCGACTGTTGGTATGGTGGCTATGCCAAATCGTTGTAAGACAATGAGGGGTGGCAGTAAAGAGGACGACCACATACCTACGAAACGAGACGACCGCTCGTCATGTCGAGGGACCGTGACCACAGGAGAAAGCACCAGCGTGATCTCAGGTTCTGCAGTGAAAAATAAAATCAACCAGCGCTCCAGCCAAGCATCTACTACCTTACCAGTGAATTCACTAGCAGTTCCCAGATACTCCACGATCGCCTTGAGGAGCAACCGTTCTTGGCGCCTCAAACTCAGGTCAAATTGAGTAGTCGATCCGTGCCCGGGTGCAAAGACGCTAGCTTGCGAAACTTCAGTGTCCGTCTGAGGTTTCACCGCTTGATTCCAGCTTCTATTTCCAAGGCACCTCGCTGCAAGGCCCAACACAGCACTGTGAATACCACCAAACCCAGAATTTGTCGACATCTAGACCACCATTGTCAGTACTCCAGTAACACAAAGCATGTAACGGGGACTCACCAGCTCAGATTTCGGAACGGAGCGTTAGGATACTTCTGCTCAGCGATACCACGAGGTGGATTTCTTGAACGATCGACAACCCAATCTCTTCAGAATCGTTTTTTAGGAGGATGATGATCGTCTCTCGATGGCTGGATAAAAAGTCGAGCGCCTGATAGCGAGTTAGTCAACGCCCACCCACAAAAAAAGTGAAAAGTAAACTTACCTGACTACTCGCTGTAGCATGCTGAGCTCCCAACGTCGTCAGCATCCCAGCAACAAGCTGAAGCGCCGGCATGAAAATCTGGTGGTATCGCTGAATAGCTGAAGGCAAGAAGGAATCCTGGTCTTCATAAACAACTCAGCACCCAAAAAAAAAATACCTCCGAGGAAGACAAAAACCAACACACCCATAAACGACTGATCTGCTTCTGGTCTCGTGTCCAAGAACTCGCACTGACTCAGGATCGGGAAAATTCGAGCTTCAAGCAACCGTTCCGCCCCCGGCCTCGTTTGTGCCATCCGTATCAAGAAGGACATCTTCGCCTCGTAAACGTACAGAGGATTCAGATCATCTGCATCATTCCCTTCAGTTTTGTCCAGATAAAGCCTACTCACTGTGCACGCACCTGGGTCTGGTTTCAACACATACTGCATTTGCGACTCCGCTTCCTTGAGTCCCTGAACGAAGTTCGACAAAATCCCATAGCGAACCAAAGATGTAAGGAGCATGCGGGACTTGTCCGAGCGGCATAGCTGCGAGAGGGAGTCTAGCAGCATGAAAGCGACGGTCTTCCAAACTTCAGTACCATCGATAGCGTCCCGGGATACGATCGTGACCAGTCTCTCGAGCACGCTTTTCAACGCGGCCAGCGTACCCAGCTCTAGCGCCGAGACATTTGTTGCAGGCGTTGGCGTCCCACGGATGGATCGAGATTCATTCAGGGACAAATCATCGCGTGAGGAGATTGCAGAGAGAGACATCGACATCGACATCGACATCGATAACGAGTGCTTCCCAAATGTCTCCATTGACGCCTCTCCCGAAGGCCTCTGATCACTCCCTCCGATGAGGTGGAAGTAATTGATCAAAGAAGCGTATAGGTTGCCGCGAACCAGCTCCGAACGGTTGTTATCCAGGATACAGTCAAGGATGCTGCGAAGAAGCGCAAACAGTCCTCTCCGCAGGCAAAGAGCCCGCGTCAGTGTCCCCGCCAGCAGACTGAAGCATAACTTGATGACGTCGATCTTCACGCAGCTTCGTGATGCAAGACAGCACGGCTTCCGAAAGGAGAATCGCAGTAGGCTCCTGGATATCAGAGGAACGGATAGCAGTAGGTAGAACGTGTAGCAAGTCAAAGAGCATGTTTTCACGTCTGTCGTGCGGCAGACGCTGGAAGCACTTGGTAAGGGTGATGTCTAATAGCCTCCACCATGCTTCGTATCCGGTAGCGACAGCAAAAGCAACCTCACGGCGATTGTTTTCGATCGCACAGCTCTCCAAGACGTACGAGGTTTCAGCGTTCAGTTTGTCAGCGTGCGCGCTATTGGTGATTCGGCCTTGAGCGTGAAGGGAACGTCGCGCGAGCGTCAACAGGGACAACAGCGCAGATCTATCAACGACTTCGCACCCGGTGCTATCCACACGGATGCAGGACTGGAGGTTGAGCTGACCGAGAAGCTCCAGATCGACAGGATGGACGGCTAAGCTGTCTGACCAGTCAAAGCTAAGGGACTGGACAGACTCGATGATCCTAAGATGAGACTGGCCCATCTCCTGGAACGGTTGCAATGCATCCACATCCCAATCAAGCGTATCTTCACCAGGCATCGCTTCTGAGCCGAATATGATTTGCAAAACCTCCAGAATGCCCTTGTGGTGGCCTTTGCGGGTCAGGACGTGGAGATCAAGGGATACTAGGTCAAGGACGCGAGAGCGTACGCCCATGAACGATCGTAGAGTTGATACGCTGGTGATAACACGAGAACCGTCATGATATAGTACCTCGATGACAGGCTCCTCGTGCGTTTCTGGGGCTTTGGAAGGTATGGCTGCGAGGTGGCGCGCGAAGAAGTCTTCTCGCGTGCGTAGATATCGCATAGTGGACTCCGATGTCCGTGGGTGTACACAGAGCTGGTGGATCACCTGGTAGCAGCGCTCTGCCAGAGCAGGGATAGAAATGAACAATGGATCGACTTGGCGCGCAAGCCTGCGTTCGCGTTCGCGTTCTTTGCCTTTTGCGTGCACTCTTGGGACGCCGGCGTTGACAAGGTCAATGACGACATGGGCGCACGTTTTGCGTGCACCCATTGCGTGTGGATCTTGGATTTGATGCTCGTTTTCTGGGCCACCGAATAACAGGAAATGGCCGATAGTGGGAATGGTCGGTTTGGACGTGAGTTCTGGATGAGCAATTCGAGGATGGCAAGCCGTATCGCCTGATCGAGTGGTTCTTGCGCTTCTCTGTCATGAGCCCCAGCGCCGGTCACCTGTTCAGCCTGCGTCTCGCTAACATCTACATCATCGAATGACTCGACACTGAGTAGCTGCCTGAAACCGCTGAGGATGCGATCCGAGTCGTTGCTGCGCTCGATGAGGGTGGTCAGGTTTGCTGACCGACGATGATAATGCGTGACGATCTTGACGGCGAGAAGGACGAGCTCAGGGTATGAAGGGTACACGACATACGTAGCAATCGCAGGAATATGCTGCGTGCCATACGACAGCGCTTGATCGAAACGCGTGTAATACGACCGAGCATGAGCGACGCCGACAAACTGCGAGCTATCAAACTCTGTGAGGAGCGGTACGAGCACATCAAGGAAGATATCCTGGATGTCCAGAACGCGGTGGACGATTCGCAAAACACGCACGATCGTATTCTTGAAATGCGGTTCTTCATCTGCGAAACCTTTCTCGAAACCTTCTATGCCATCCACAATGTACGTCAAGATGCTGGTTTGTAATAGCGAGGTCGTCAAGAGACGCTGCATGACATCATACCCAGGGTGGACGAGGAGGGGAACGATGGCCTCCCGCTTCAAGACGACATCTTCACCCGATGAGACCAATAGCTCGAGATCGTAGCTCGCGAGGACTCGCTCGACGAAGGACAAACACAAGTCATTCATCTGCCACCTGTCTGAAGGTCGCCTATACTCTCTCCGCGGGATATTAGCGAAAACATTGTCGATAACGAAGGATATATAAGGTGCAATCCCAGGAAGACGATATGGTTGACCAAGGGCATCAGGAATGGTGTTCAGCGGCTCCGAATCCGTTACGAGGTCCTTCAAGGAAAGGCGTTTGGGAGTGTGAATGAGGGTGCTGAGGAGTTTGAGGAAGGGGATCGTAGCGGGATAGAGTTTATGAATTGATTCAACCTCGTCCAGCTCCACCTCGACGCCCTTGACGGGATGCAATACTCCCCCGACACGGGAAGAACTTGCACGGACGTTTATGACTTCTAACCGCTCCATCAATGTCCATACTGATCTGCATATCTCCACTCCAGCAACGCCCGCCCCGGGTTCACAAAATGCTGCGAGGGCGTCAAAGATGGCTCCCTTCAGCTCCAAGGGTATCCCAAGAGGTATCAGCGAGACCAGCGTTGGAATAGCCCTGAAGTGCGAGTTTCCGGAGATCGCGAGGCGGACAGCAACTGAGCACGATACTACCGTAGATAGAAGGCGGAGGAACGCTTGGGCGAGTAAAACATCGTTGGGTCCTATTGCAACCTGTTTCTGCTGCTGCTGTTGGGAGGCAGCTTGAGACTCGGCGAAATGTGATGACCGGAAGCCACTGAACGATCCTCCCAAGTTCTGTTGCGGAGGTGGATGGGGCTTGGGGCTACTGGGTGAAGCTGCCCAGGATTCTAGCAGAGCGAATATGATCAACCAGGACACAGCCGAACCAGCGCTGTAGTGCGATGAGCTTCCAGCTAGGCTGCTCCCCGGTACGACTTCTACACCACCTCTAGCAAGGAAGTTATATGCGAGCTCGCTGCATTGTTGGCCTTTTGCCAAACCAGACAACATATCGTATAACGCAGTGGACATGATAACATCACGAGTTTGCGTGGACCAGACTGCCCATTGAAGGAAGGAAGGAAGTCTGCCTGCATTGGTCTCCGTGAGCTCCAGATAGGTGAGACGATGGGTTTCGGTGAGTGGCGTAGCCCCCCAGAACTGCAGAGCTCGTTCGGGAGGAAGAATGGAGTATAGGAGACCAATGAAGTACAACATGGCGATATCGTTGCGAGGATTTGTTTGAGGGTCTGAGTCTGGCCCAGAATGCGTCAACGATCGGAAGAGACGTGCGCTGGCGAGAACGATGTCCTCCTGACGCTGCTTGATCTTGCGTAGCTCTGAGGATGCATAGGTGATAACCGAGCGCACGAGAGCATCGCAAGCATTCAGAACGGCGAGCTTAAAGTCTTCATGAGGTGGTTCTCTTAGTTGCTCCTGCTCAGGGGTAAGCTCAATGAAGGCTGCGAACGACGTGGCTGGGGAGGTTCTGGACCTCTGCTGCAGCTGGATAAGCGCTGTGGTGAGGTACGTAAATGCATCACCCTGGACGGCGTTCCAAATCTGAGTCTCAAGCTCTGATGTTTTGAAACCCTCCCTGGCCTCCAGAGAGGGGTCTCGGTGACGGGTCTCTGTCAAGAGGAGAGTCCACTTCAGCAACACGGTTGCTTTCAACCCAGTATCCTTCCATTCGGTAGTGCGGGAGAGCTTCTGCTTCATGTATGTTATCATTGTGTTGTCTGTAGCCAGCCGTTGGCGATTCTTGCCACCGACAGAAGAGGGGTCCACCAAATCAAAGGCAGCCAGAATGGCGGTGAGGACATAGAATGTCATAGCATCGTTAGGATTCACGGATAGCCAGTCGAGGGATGTCCGGATATCGGATACCGTGAGACATCCAAGACGGGCGATCTGGAAGTAGACAGTGGCAAGGTATCGTCTCTCGTATTTGAGTGAGTCGCAGCGTGCACTGAGGATGTCGTAACCCAGAGTGGGTG